ATGTTTCCTGCATAACTGGAGAGACAGGTGTGCTCCACCAGACACCTATTGAGATGGGGTCTCTTTAATTATTTATTTGCCTGGGCTGGCCTCAAATCTTGATCCTCTTGACCTCTAGCTTCCAATAGGTAGCATTACAGGCACAAGCCACTGCAAACCTCTATTTTTGATAAAGTGCCCAGACTGGGGCTGAGGTGTAGCCCCAGGCATTTGCCTTCCAAGTGCCGGGTCCTGGGTTCAGAGGATTTTAGGAGAGCTGAGTGCCTGGAATCCTACACAGGACCAGTGGATATATTTGTTACTGTGCCATAATATACTACATCATTAGAGGAGGTTCCCATGCCTCCTGCATACCCTGGGGCCTCCATAGTAAAGCCTTCTCCAAGCACAGTGCCCATGATAGCTAGGCACCAGTGGCTCATGCCTGTAATCCCTGCTACTTGGGAGGCTGAGCTTGGAAGGATCATGATTTGAGGCCAGCCTGGGCAAACAGTTCTTGAGACCCCATCTCCAAAATAACCAGAGCAAAATGGAGTGGGGGCATGGCTCAAGTGGTAGAGAGCCTGCTTTGCAAGTGTGAAGCCCTGAGTTCAAACCCCTGTCCCTTAAAATAAAAAACCCGGGCCAGGTGACACGGGAGAAAAGTCACTTGTGACCTACCAGCATCAGGTCCTCTTGGCTGGTGACCTTGTTACCTGTGATGAGGAGCCCATCAAGGAGTCTCCCTTCCTCTCCTTTTTCACAGCCCTGCCTGCACTTTCCCAAGTGGAACAGGCTTTGTGTCAGTTATCATTGCTGTGTAAGAAACAGTCCCACATACAGTGGCATAAAACAGTGTTACAAATGTTCCCCAACTTTGCTCAGATCTGGAAAACTTACAAATGGAAATTATGATGGTGCCAGTGGCTCACACCTGTAATCTCAGCTACTCGGGAGGCAGAGATCAGGAGGATTGTGGTTTGAAGCCAGCCCAGGCAAATAGTTCTCAAGACCCTGTCTCTGAAAAACCCATAAGGAAATAGGACTGGTGGAGTGGCTCAAGGTGAAGGCCCTGAGTTCAAACCCCAGTGCTGCCAAAAAATAAAAAGAAATTATGGTGAGTGGAAAATGTACCTTGTGTTAGTCAGCTTTTTGTGAACAAATGCCTGAGATAAACAACTGAAGGGGAGAAAAGGTTGGCTTTGGCTCATGCTTTTCTTCTGTGGTCACTTGGCCCTGTTGCTTTGGGTCTGTGGCAGCAGAGCCCATCATGGTGGAGAGTTTCTGGGGTGGAGCACAGCTGCTCACCTCATATGATTGAGAAGCAAAGACAAAGGAGGATGACAGTCCAGTATCCCCGTGAAAGACACACCCTCAATCACCTAACTTCCTTTCTCCAGGCTCCTCCTCCACCACTGTCCCAGCACCGCAGGCCTGGGACCAAGCCTTCGTACCCAAATCCAAACTCTAACACTAATTAGCTACATTAGCTCAGCTAACCTAGGAGGCACCCTGCCTTAGCAATGCAGCACGTCCTACACTGTGACATTTGTGTCCCTCCCGGTCCTGTGGCTGAGGAAGCTGTGGTCACTACCACTCCCCAGCACCATTCAAGGGGTCTGTACTAAAGATTGCCCATTTGAGAAAAGTTCAAAATTCAAACAGGAAGTAATTTTCTACAAAATGCAAGTCACCAACATACCATCATAGAGTGAAAAAAAAAAAAAGAAGCCGGGTGTGGTGGCTTACGCCTGTAATCCCAACACTCAGGAGGTGGAGGCAGGACTGTGAATTCGAGGTCTCAAAAAAACAACACCTGGAGATGTAGCTCCAGATGTGCTTGCACTTGCCTAACGTGCAGAGCCCCGAGCTCAATCCCCAGCACCCCAGAAGAAGAGGAAGAAGAGGGAGAAGAAGGAGGAGGAGGAGGACAAGAAGGACAGCAAAAAGAAAGCCTCTCTATTATTTTTGCAACTTTCTGTTGCAAAGTCTAAAATTATCCCAAAATTAAAAGTCAAAACTATATGTTCTATCTTCCTTCTTACATACACCGTCATTAGGTCCGGAGCACACATGCTAATTTAGAACTGAACCGAGTTCCACGCCAGTGTGTGATGGGGACAGAGCCCCAGCCTCCAGGTCCCCAGCCTCCCCTCCCCACCGCCTCCACTCTCCCATGAGCGTGAGGGTCCACGTGTGGCCATGTGACCACCCCACGCTATGCACCCCACTGCTCCTCAGACTCCCAGACCCCTCGGCCCTCAGGCCCTGGGAGGACGAGGTGGAGGTTCTAGGCCCCCAGGCCCCGAGAGAGAGAGAGAGAGAGAGAGAGAGAGAGAGAGAGAGAGAGAGAGAGAGAGGAGAGAGGAGAGAGAGCACAGAGTCTCCAGGGCCTCTCCATCCTGTGGGGATGGGCACCTGACGATGGCAAGAGTTCAGTTTTTGTTGTGCCCTGAATGGCTGGGTCCCCCAAATCCACAGGCTGAAACCTGAAACCCCAGGCTGGGGCAGAGCTCACAGGTAGAGCCCTTGTCTAGAGTGCATGAGGCCCTGGATTCCATGCCGGGGCCAAGGAAGAAAGGAGGGAGGGAGGGAGAGGGAGGGAGAAGGAAAAGAAAAGAAGAAAAGAAATCTTAACCCCTATGGTGCTGGTGTTAGGAGATGGGCCTGTGGGAGGTCACTAGTTCATTAGGATGGAGCCCTCGTCAGTGACATTAGTGTCTTCTATGGCTTGAACAAGCTGTGTCCCCACCAAAACTCATTTGGAGGCTTGGTCCCCAGTGCAATGGTGTTGAGAGGTGGCAGTGGCAGGGTCTTTAAGAGGAATCTGGGGTCATGAGGGATATTTTCCCCCAGCGGTTCAAGAATATTTTTCTTGCAGATGATGGGTTAGCTGTTATGGGCGTTCAGCCACCCCTTTTCTCTTTTCTCCCTTCTGCTTTCATCCATCCACCTGTTGTCCCATTTGCCACAAGCTGACGCAGCCTGTGGCCCTCACCACAAACCTGACAAGATGCAACCTCCAGAACTGTGAGGTCAGTAAACCTCTTCTCTCTATAAATCACCCCGCCTCCGGTATTCTGTTACAGCAGCAGAAAATGGATTTTGACAGTATCTTTATAAAAGGGATCCAGGGGAGTGCATCCAAGCTTTCTACTGTGTAGACACACAGTAAAACATCACTGTCTATGAACCTGGATCCCATAGTCAATCTGCCAGGGATCCACCAGCTCTCCAGAGATATCCAGATCTTTTCAGTGCAGAATGGTATGGGATGTCATGAGACAGCATATTTATTTAATTTTTTGTTATTTTTGTGTACATGTGTGGAGCTGGGTCAGAGTCAGGGCCTCAGGTATGCTAGGCAAGCACTCTACTACTGAGCTACCCCCTCAGTTTGATAGAGAATACTTTACTTGATAATTTTCTTGCTTATTTTATAATTTTTTTTTTTTTGGTGGGACTGGGGTTTGAACTCAGGGCTTCACACTTGCAAATCAGACACTCTACTGCTTGAGCCACACCTCCACTCCATTTTGCTGTGGTTATTTTGGAGATGGAGTCTTGAGAACTATTTGCCTGGGCTGGCCTCAAACTGCGATCCTCCCAAGCTCAGCCTCCCAAGTAGCTGGGATTACAGGCGTGAACCACCGGTGCCAGGTTCTCTCTTTTCCTTTTAAATTTAAATTTTTGGTACTGGGGATGGAACCCAGGGCCTTGCCCATGCTAGGCTCTTACACTTGAGCCACACCACCGGCCTGTTGGCTTTTATTTTGTTTCTGAGACAAGAGCTGGAAAACTTTCCCTGGGTTGGCCTTGAACTCACGACCCTCCTGCCTCTTCTCCTTTCTTTTGCACGATCTGGGGAACAGCAGAGCACAGACTCCCATTCTGCTGATCACGCATCACATTCCTGAAGGCAATTCTAAGCGCCCACTCTTCCCATGCCTGTTTACTGGTTTACAAATTACCCAAGGACACGTGTGCGTGTTGACCACACTGTGTCCCGTGAATCACCGAGCATCCGCAGAAAACAGGCACAGAGGCAGAGTGACACAGGGAACTGGAACTACAAATGACCATTTCCCCACAGCTGACAGATAGATGCCACTAGCGTGCTGTGCTGCTGGTGTTCTGTGGTGCGATGCATGGAGCCCGTGCCTTGCCCAGGCTCGGCGCCACTGCGCACAGGAAGCCCTGGCCTTAGCAGTGTAGGTGAATCTTCCTTTTATTTTCTGCATTCTGATGTTTGAGCCCGGGGTTGTGGCTAGAGAGCGGCTGGGGGTGCAGCTCAGCTGTAGGGTGTGCCTAGCACGCTCAAGGTCCTGGCTCATCCCCAGCACCACCAAAATATTTTTTCTAAATTACAAAAAAAAAAAAAAAGAAAGAAAATCAATGGGATGGGTATGGTGGTGCATGCCCATAGTCCCAGGTACTCAGGTGACAGAGATAGGGGGACCATGGTCCAAGGCTGGCCCAGGCAAAAGTGAGGGCCACTAGCTGAAAAACCAACTAAAGCAAAAAGGGCTGCAGAGTGGGGGGATGGCTCAAGAGGAGGAGCACCTGCCCAGCAAGTGCACAACCCTGAGTTCAAATCCTCTCCCTCCTTTTTTGTTTTTGACAGTACTGGGGTTTGAACTCAGGGCCTCAGTTTTGCTTAGGAAGGTGATTTGCCACTTGAGCCACTCCACCAGCCCTTCTTCTTTTCCTGAGACAAGGTCTCACAAGCCAGGGCTGGCCTGAAACTCTCCATCCTTCTTCCTCAGCTTCTGGATTCTGGGATTACAGCTGTGCGTCACCACACGCGGCTTCGCAACTTCTTGGCCCTCCCAGTATCCTTCTAGGTGTGGTGCATCCTCCAGAATCAGCAGAAAGCCCCAAGCTTCAATCTTATTGGTCTAGCTTTGGGGAACCGGTCCATCCAGAACCAATCCCTGTAGCCCAAAAGATGGAATGTGGTGATTGGCTAGAAACCTAACCCCCCCCCCGCGGCCCCCCCCACGCCTCCTCTAGATAAGCCAATGCCGTCTTTCCCTGCGGCAAACTCCCCGCCCCCCACGCTGCGGCCCCGCCCTCCCGGCCCCGCCCCACCCCACCCAGCAGGTCACCCAGATGGCTCAGTGGGGGAATGTCTGCGGGATCGGGTGAAAGGCTGGGACGGTGTGGGCGTGGGGGGGTCGATGTCCTTCGGTGTCCCTGGGTCACAGTGAGGGGGCAGTTGCAGTAGCGCTGTGTGCACTGGTACAGCAATCTCCACTCATTTTCACTGAAGGGGGGGGGGCCCTGCAGGGCTGATGGAGGAGGGAGCAAGGAGACTGCCGAGAAGAGGAAAAGGGTGGGTGAGCAGCCGGGTGTGGTAAGACACTTCTGTAATCTCAGCAGTCAGGAGGTAGAGACATGAGGATTGAGAGTTCAAGGCCAGCTTGGGCTACATACTGAGGCTCTGACTCAAAAAAGAAAAAGAGGGCTGGTGGAGAGGCTCAAGTGGTAGAGCACCCTGCCCAATAAAGGTGAGACCCTGAGTTCAAACCCCAGTACTATTTTAAAAAAAAAAAAGAGGTAGAGATACACTGGGAGGACATGATTTGAGCTGCTGGATCCAGTTGTGCCCGAGAGCCACACCACCCTCTCCCTCCCCGCAACTTTCCCTTTTGTGAGGCAACGAATGCCCCAATTTGCATTAGCTGGTTTGTTTTGGGCTCTCCATCTTTCACTGTTGAAAGAGACCCGCCAGAAATGCAAATCATTTGCTTTTTGTTGCCATTTCCCTGTGGCTAGGACTTCGCAGTAGCTCAGTCTCCTTTGGGAGACTTTTTTCCCACTGTTTTCACTGGTTCCACACAGACAACTTGGTGAGATATATTGTTCTCTTCTGGCCAAAGCTAAAAGCTGCCTCCTGCCCCAACCACTAAGAAAGTCACACAGTCCTGGGGAACATGACAAACAGCCACCTCTCTTGCAGAGGCTCTACCATTTGAGCCACACGCCCAGCTTTTTTACTTTAGCCAGTTTTCAGTTAGGTCCCATGCTTTTGCCCAGGATTGGTCTCAGACCTCAGTCCTCTCATCTGTGCCTCCTGTCTAGCTGGTGAGCCACCACACCTGGCTTGTTTGTTGAGCTGGGGGTCTTGCCAACTTTCTTTTTGCCTGGGCTGACCTCAAACCGCCATTCTCCTGATTTCTGCCTCCAGAGTAGCTGGACTCACAGGCGTGCACCACCATGCCTGGTGTTGTGGGGGCGACTTTTTGTTTGTTTGTTTTGGGAGGTACTGGGGTTTGCAAAGGAGGCGCGAACTTGAGCCACACCTGCAGTCCATTTTGCTCTGCTTATCTTGGAGACGGAATCTCAAGAAATAGCTGCGTGGCGCTGGCCTTGAACGGCCACCCTCCTGATCTCAGTCTCCCAAGTAGCTGGGATTACAGGCGTGAGCCCGTCGCCCAGCTGGGGTGACTCTTAAGTACACATCCCACCCAGTCTCCCTGGCAGGAGTGGGCCCCGGTCACTCGTGTGGGAATTTGCTTGCTCACTGGCAAGACGAACCATCTGGATTTGTCCAGAATAAAGGAATTTCCGACGACACAGGATTTTGAGGGCTAAGATTAGAAATTCCAGGCAGGTTGATCGTCCCATTGATAACTCACTGTTTACTGGCTGCCCCCTCGCTTCCCTGAGCCCAGGGATGGCCTCGAACTGAAATCCTCCTAAACTCTGCCTCCTGCGTACCTAGGATTACAGGCCTGAGTCACCGACGCCAAGCAATCCTCAAACATTCTTGGTCTCTGTGGCCAGGCTGGCTGAGGTTACGAAAGCAGAGCTGGGGTGGTTGGAGCAGGCGGGGAACTGGGGGGGGGAGAAGGGGGGGCAAGGGGACTGGCTGGCCTGTCCTCACCACTCCATCCGGCCGCCTGCCTCCCCAGGGCGGGGAAGGGGTGGGCCAGCTGTGTGTGTCGAGGGGTGGCCTATACTGAGAGATGGAGGACGGTGGCAGCCACAGTGAAGGCTCCAGGAGGTGACCAGCTGGCTTGCATTAAAAGCCCTGGCTGGCAGCTTGGGCCAGAAGGCAGAGCCAGGCCGGCAATGGTAAGGTGGGGCCGGGAGGGCGGGGGGTGTCTGAGGGTAGAGACTGCCTGGTCCCCCTGCCTGGCTCTGCCCACTGGCTAGTGCCAGCAATGGCTGCCCCCCCTCCAGCCCCTCCCTGGATGAGGGATGCTATGTTTCCATGACGACCCCAAGCCTGGTCTGGGGGCTGCTGACCCCTCCCTCCACCCCCCAGCAGCTAAGCCTGCTGCTGCTGCTGCTGTTGCTGCCGCCGGGCCACCTGCCCACCCTTGTCCTTGAGGACCCCACCTTCCCCCACCTGGGGGAGAGCTCGCAGCCCCCACCCCGGGCCTGTCCCTGGCGCTGCTCCTGTCCCCAGGTGGACACCGTGGACTGCGCCAACCTGGACCTGCAGGTGTTCCCCAACAACATCACCAAGGCTGCTCGGTACCTCAAACTGCAGGTGGGGGCCTAGGGCCAGAGGGGAGGGGACCTGGGGGGACGGGTGGCGATGGAGTGGGGGTGGGGTCCACCTGCTGGAGGAGAACATGGCCTTGATGTCAGGTGGAGTTGGGGGGAGAGATACCAGGAATGGGAACAGTTAAGGGTTTGAAGATTATGGGGTCTCTTGGGGTCAGAGTGACGTCACATTTGGGGACACCTGTTGGGATGTTGGGGAGCCTAATGTCTTGGCAGTTGGGGGCACTGATTGTGGGATCACGAGGTCCTTGAAGTCAGGGGTGTGAGTGCCCACTCCCTGCACCTCACCCTGCAGAACAACCAGCTCCAGGAGTTACCCTACAATGAGTTGTCCCGCCTCAGTGGCCTGCAGACCCTGGACCTGCACGGCAACCTCATTTCCTCCGAGGGTGAGGGCTTGGGTGGGAGGGGACCGTCCCTGCCTGCCGGGCTGCGGGTAGCTCTGTGGCGGTTCCCAGAACGGCACTTTGCTGAGTATGCTGGAAACTTGGGGGCTGGGGGGGGGCTGCGGCTTTTGAGCAGGAACAGGGTGGGGGGGGAGGGCAGGAGGACCTGAATGCCTGGGAGCTTCTGCAAGTCCCCAGCCCTCAGCCCTGGGGTGCTGAAAGCACAGTCCTGCACCCCCAGGCCTGGGGTCCCCTCACCACCCTCATCCTCCCCCACCCCCTGCTCCCAGGCCTGCCCGATGAGGCCTTTGAGTCGCTTCCCCAGCTCCAGTACCTCTATGTGGCCCACAACAAGGTGAGTTCCAGCCCAGAGAGGGTGCAACCTGGCCAGGTCACACAGCACTGGGACCCAGGCACATAGGGCACGGGGCGGGGGGGGCGGGGAGGAGGGGAGATATGAGGCTGTCACTCTCACAGCTCTCCATGGCACCCCAATTCCTGCCCCGCTCCCTGCGTGTTGCGGACCTGGCCGCCAACCACGTGATGGAGATTTTCCCGCTCACCTTTGGAGAGAAGCCAGCGCTCAGGTAGCCCTGGGTGGCAGCCCATGCCCATGACAGGGGACCCAGACACATGCTGAGGGCTGATGGGGCCTGATCCTGCCCTGGGGGGTCTGGGGGAACCTAGTCCTGTTTCTGGGGTCAGAGGATACAGTTCTGGGGGTCAGGGTGAGCACACTTGTGTTCTGGTGGCCAGAGGGGGACCACTATGTTCTGGGGGGTCCGAGGGGGTCCTGGTCCTGCACCAGGGACCCTGAGGGGAATACAGTGCACACACCAGGTGGCTGCCCCTAGGGTGTGGATGGGCCTGGGGGAGTGCAGAAGTTGGAGTGCAAGCTGCTGAGGGCCTGTCTCCCCTCAGGTCTGTGTACCTCCACAACAACCAACTGAGCAACGCTGGCCTGCCACCTGATGCCTTCCAGGGCTCCGAGGCTGTCACCACCCTCAGTCTCTCCAGCAACCGGCTCACCTACCTGCCACCCAGCCTGCCCGCCTCGCTCGAGCGGCTCCACCTGCAGGTGCCCTGCATCTCCTCAGCCTCTTCCCTGTCCCCATCTGAACCGGGCCCCCCTTTCTGTCCTGTGGGACCCCTCTGCCTCCTCCCTTCCATACTTCCAACTCACCCCAGTGCCAGAAAGTACTTTTCCCTCAGTTTCTTTGTAGCCCAGGCTGGCCTCAAACTTGTGATCCTCCAGGCTCAGCCCCCAGAGTGCTGGGATTACAGGCGTGCACCGTGATGCCTGGCCATAACTACCTTTTTCCCCTTTCCTTTCAATTTCTTCCACTGCCTTGCTCAAGGGAGATGAGCTCCTTGGCCCTCAGTCAAGAGCCTTCGGTGGCTTCCAGCTCCCCTCTCTTCCAAACCCTCAGACTCATTCTCTTCTCCTTTTTCCAGAACAACCTCATCTCCAAGGTGCCTCGGGGAGCCCTGAGCCGCCAGACCCACCTCCGTGAGCTCTACCTGCAGCACAACCTGTTGACCGACAGTGGCCTGGACGCCACCACATTCAGGTGGGTCTGGCGACAGGGTTGAAAGGGTGTGATGGTTGCAGCCCTGTGGTAGTAGCAGGGCTAAATATTTACAGTCTGGGATCCCAACCTTCGGTCCCCTTCCCAACCCAAGGCTTCATTTGTGAGTGCCAACTGTATACTGGGCTTGCCTGTGTGCGTACCAGCTATCACTGTATGCCAGGGATATCTTGCAGATGTCTTTGTCCCCCACTGCTTTGTACTGGTTTCAGTAATTATTCAGCATCACAGCTGCCACCACTTGCCTTCTTCTTTACTCCCTCCTTTCCTTCCTCTTTTTTTTTTTTTTTGGTGATACTTGGATTTGAACTCAGGACTTCATGCTTTCAAAACAGGTGCTCTACCACTTGAGCCACACCTCCAGTCCATTTTGCTCTATTTTGGAGATGGGATCTCGGGAGTTATTTGCCTGGGCTGGCCTCAAACTTTGATCCTCCTGATCTCAGCCTCTCAAGCAGCTAGGATTACAGATAGGAGACACTGGCACCCAGCTCTTTGTTCGTTTTTGACATAGGCTCTCACTAACTTTGCACACACTAGCCTTAAACTCTAGACCCTCCTGTTCCTGCCTCCTGAGTGGCTGGGATTACAAGCATGTGCACTGTACCCAGCTGTCATATCCACTTCTGTCCTGGTCACCCCTACAGCTAATCCTCAGGCTGGAACTCTCTCTGTGCACCCCACCTTTGGCTCCCACCTAGTTCTCTCACCCATCACTCCCGGAGTTGAAGTCTCCAGTCACTCACCCCACAATCCACCCTGCCCCTCTGAGTGCCCAGCCCGACGCCCACCCTCTCTGCCTCCAGCAAGCTGCGCAGCCTGGAGTACCTGGACCTGTCCTACAACCTGCTGACCACTGTGCCTGCCGGCCTGCCCCGGACTCTGGCCGTGCTGCACCTGGGCCGGAACCGCATTCGGCAGGTGGAGATGGAGCAGCTGCGGGGCGCGCGGGGCCTGCGCTACCTGTTGCTCCAACACAATGAGCTGGGGACCTCGGGGCTGCCCGCCAGGGCACTGCGGCCACTGCGGGACCTGCACACGCTGCATCTCTACAGCAACAGGCTGGACCGTGTGCCCCGGGGGCTGCCCCGCCGCCTGCAGGCCCTGGTAATGCTGCACAATCGTGTGGCCACGCTGGATGCCCGGGACCTGGCCGCGACCCCCGACCTGGCCGAGCTCAACCTGGCCTACAACCGCCTGGTCAGCGCCCGTGTGCACCGCCGTGCCTTCTGCCGGCTGCGTGCCCTGCAGAGCCTCGACCTGACCGGCAACCAGCTGACGCGGCTGCCCACGGGCCTCCCCACCAGCCTCCGGGTCCTGAGGCTGCAACGCAACCAGCTGCGTGCCCTGGAGCCCGAGCCGCTGGCTGGCCTGGACCAGCTGCGGGAACTCGGCCTGGCACACAACCGGCTCCGTGTTGGCGACATTGGGCCTGGCACCTGGCACCAGCTGCAGGAGCTGAAGGTCAGGGGAAGGCTGGTTAAGCCACACTGACTGGTCTGGGCTGTCCCCAAAGCACCCCACAACCAATGCCTGCCCAATTCCTCCCCAGCTCCAAGGCCCCGTGATGCCACAGAGTTCGCTAGTGGGCAGTCTGGGCTGCACAAGACAGACCCAGTCTCGAGGCCCTTGTCCACACTGTCCCCACCTCCTGATCCTCTGCCCGCACCCCTGCTGCCTCCCTAGGGAAGACCTTGACATCCAGCTGCTTCTGTGCGTTGCACAGCAGTGCAGCTGGACACAGGACACAGCTCCTGTTCCTCCCCGCGTGCACTGAGGGTAAATGATGAGCGTGTTAGACAGCCATGAGGGGAGCCGGGTGTGGTGGTGCACGCCTGTATTCCCAGCACTTGCAGCCTGGGCTGCATACTGAGATCCTGTCTCCAGCCCCATCCCCCTGCCAAAATGGTGATGAGGACTTTCGAGGATATGTGAATACTGAGTGATGTTGAATTGTGTGGGACCCCGCTTGCCCTAGGAAGGGACTCAGTTTACCTCCACGAAGGAAAGGGATTTGGTGACCATGAGGGGACAAAGGGGATGGGGCAGAAGGTCCAGGCTGGGCATAGAGGACAGGGAGGGAGGAGGCGGAGGCTTGCTGATCCAGGTGGCCTGGGGCTGCCATGATGCCATCTTTGCCCCCCGCCAGGTGCTGGACCTGAGCCACAATGAGCTGTCCTTTGTGCCTCCCGACCTGCCCGAGGCCCTGGAGGAGCTGCACCTGCAGGGCAACCGCATCAGTCACGTGGGGCCTGAGGCCTTCCTCAGCACACCCCACCTGCGCGCCCTCTTCCTCAGGTGTGGGGAGGGAGGAGGGAAGAGGTGAGGGTAGGGATGGGGAGGGGACAGGGCAGGATGGCGGTGGCCAGGGGCCACCATCCTCACACTCGCCTCCCCGTGCAGGGCTAACAAGCTACATATGACAAGCATCTCGGCCGAGGCCTTCCTGGGGCTCACACACCTGCGTGTGGTGGACACGGCCGATAACCCAGAGCAGGTGCTGGTTACACTGCCACCCTCGGCGTCACAACAGCTGCGAGCAGGGGGCTCCTGAAGTGGAGGGGCCCAGCGGGGCAGCTTGGAGCCCTGGGACTCCTTTGGCTGCAGACTAAGGAGGCAGGGTCCACCCAGGGCCTCGGGGACTGGAGCTGGGCAAGGCACTGGGACCCAGCAACACCTGTCCCTGGGAGGGACACAAGCATGCAGCTGAAGCTCCAGCTCACAGAGCATGTCCCCACCTGCTGCAGAGGGACACAGTGACAATAAAGGCTTGGCCTTTCCAGCCTTACCGAGGACAGGCTCCCGTGGGGGCTCTCCCTGTACCCCGCCCCACAGCCTCGTCGTAAGGCTTCTGTACTCCCAGGTCACAACAGAGGCTCTAGGATGCTAAGGGAGGATCTGCCAATGTGGGCCAAGTCTGGTGGCCAGTGAGCAACAGGACTGGATTCTGAGGTCCCAAGACACAAGGGTCAGTGAACAGCAGCACACCTGACCCACCCTTGTCATGTAAGCCAAATCTCCCAATCATTCCAGGCCACCCCCTGGAGAATCAGGGCGACAGATGGGGGATGGTCAGGAGCGTCCCATCCCGCACAGCAAGCATTCCAGTGGAACATACCCTTCGTGGGTCACAACCTCCCCAGTGCCTTTTCCTCCCCTGGGGGGCTGGGCAGGTGGGGAGACTCAGCCTGGCCAAGGGCCACAGCAAGAAACACACCAGGCATGGTGTCACACGCCTGTAATCCCAGCTACTTGGGAGGCTGAGATGGGGAGGGCAGCCTGGGTAAATAGCTCTCAAGACTCCATCTCCAAAATAATAAGACCAAAATGGACTGGAGGTGTGGCTCAAGTGGTAGAGCACCTGTTTTGCAAGCATGAAGCCCTGAGTTCAAACCCCAGTCCCACCAAAAGAAAAAAAAAAAGACATGACAAAGCCAAGCTGGTGTGGCCTTGGCTCTTTATTCCATGTCAACCCTGGGGGCTGGCAGGATGCAGCCAGCCTCAGCGGCTTCTTTGGGGTGTGGGAGGATTGTAGGGTTAAGGCCAGGGAAAGACAGGAAGTAAAGTGCTTGTGGGGGCCCGGAGGCTTGGTCCCAGCTCCCCTCCCTGCTCCAGGGCAGGTCAGTGACTGCCCGCCCCTGGGACGTGCAAACAGGACTCTCGGGGCCCACCAGCCAGGCCTGGGCGAGGGGCACAGGCCCTAGTGGTCCCCGCTGCAGAGGCTGTGGCAGGGCTGGGGGCCTGGATGGGACCAAGGCCGGAAGCAATTATCCACTGATTGTCTCCTTGTCTGCTGGGGCCCTGGGAGCTCTTCCTGGTGACAGGGCTGCTGGCCTGCTGTCCAGGGCCGCCTGCTCCACCAGGACCTCACCTGCGGAGCCGCTGCAGCTGGGGAGAAGCTGGGGGTGAGAGGGCTGCAACCACGCATGCACCCCACCCCGCCTCTGGGCCGCTCACCTCGTTCTCCACCAGGTTCCGCCTGTACAGCGCCTCCTTGGCGGCCTCCTGCGGGGGCAGGCGGTCAGCAGGCAGTGCCAGGCAGCCCCACCCTCCAGGGACCCCCAGCGCCACCTAGCCAGACCCGGCTCACCCTGCTGCCATCATAGCCCAGGCGCCGGGCGGCCTCGGTGTAGAACTGCAGCTGGCGCTCCAGCTGGGCGATGTACTCTGAAGGACAGGGCAGGGTTCAGAGGCCAGCTGGCTGTTCCCAGTGCCTGTCCCACTAGACGCCCACACTGAGCCCCTAGCCCACTGGACATCTGTCCCCACCCATGACCCCACTGGAACCCTGCCCCAGCCCTACCCCTGTGGATGCTGGCGCCCCCCTGCTCCAGCTGCGCCCTCTGCCACTGGCTGCGCTGCACGATGTCCTGGTACTGCTGGGCCACATCTGGGGGCACCGGCCGCCGCGCCTGCCTCAGAGCCAGGATCTGGAGGAGATGCAGGAACTGTGAGGGCCCTGCCTGGGCCACAGGCCCCCACCCTGCCCTGTAGAGCCCATGTCATGGGTGCCCAACCTTGCGCTCCAGTCGCTCTTGGTCGAAAGCCAGCACGCTGAGGCTGTGCAGGGGTCGTGCTGTCCTAACAAACAGGCAGGGAGGGGGAGAGAAGCTGCAGGGCTGCTCCCCTCCAGCCCCAACAATTCAACAGACACTGAACAGTGGGGGACAAGCAAGGGCCACCCAGCATTGCTGAGCCCACAGCCTAGCAGGGAAAAAGCCTGGTGGTCATGAACGGCTTCCTGGAGGAGGTGATGGCCAAACTGGGATGTGCAGAAGAGCAGGGAGCAACAACAGGTTAGAGTGCTCAGAGCATTAAGACAGACAGAGAAGCCCGGACGCCAGGGAAAAGCAGACATGATGCCGAGCCTGGTGGCCACACCTGTGATCCCAGCACTCAGGAGGCTGAGGCAGGAGGATCACGAGTTTGAGTCCAGGCTGGGCAACATAGGGAGACCCTGCCTCAAAGAATAAAAACAAAAACAAAGCAAGAGAAACAAAAACAGTAGACGTGGCCACGAACCAACAGAAGGGTGCAGGGAAAAAAGGAGGCTGTATGTATTAACACTGATCAGATCACAAAAGGTCTTAAAGATTAAGTAGAGGACTTAAAGTGGATCCTGCAGGAGAGAGGGTGCCAGGAAAGGTTTGAGGCAGGGCAGGGACACTGCCCACTGTGTGCCAGATGGGAAAACTTGTCTTGGGGTACTGAGAGATGATGGGTTCCCTCCGGGGTGGGCTGGCCAGCAACCTACCTGTTCCCTGGATCCCTGGAAGGGGCAGGAACGGGAGGTGCCTTGGCTTTGGGCGCAGTGACCTGCTTCAGGGCAGAGAAGTGGCCCATAAGCGCCACGGCTCCAGGATGGAGCCTCCCTCTCTGGTGCTGTGGACGGGCAGGGCACTCACTGTGGGCATGGGGTCGATGACCAGCCACCTCTCGGTTGTCGTCTCCAGCTGCTGGGCTGTGAGCGGCTCCCGAATCCGGACCATCACCTCCAGCCGGCCCCCTGTGGGCCGGCGACCATCTAGGACCTGGGACAGGATGAGACGGGAGCACTGCTGGGGGGGAGCAGCCCAGAGCCGGGATTGGGGAGACGTCACAGGTGACAATGGCAGGAGGTCTGGGGCTCCTGGGGCAGGGCTGGGGCAGAGCGGGGTGCACAGTTGCCCATCGGGCCATTGTCCACCTCTCACCTCAAGGATCTCCCGGACCTCGCAGGCCGTTTCCAGAGCGTCCAGCTTCAGCTGGGCCGTGCCCAGCACCCGGTCAGTCTTGAACAGCCCCCTGTGCGAGGGAGGACAGACGGTGGGACCAGAGTCCCTGCCGCCCTGAGCCTGCCCGCCCACCTGGTGCCCATGGTCGCTCACCCCTTGTGGATCACTTCAAACTTGATGCCTTTGGTCTGAATCGCTCTGCGGAAGCCGCGGTGGCTGCGGTTGATACAGAGTTTGAATTGCTCCTTGAACTCTGCCAGGAAGGAGGGAGCAGGGAGAGGAAGCTGGGTGGGGTGGGGGCTGGCCCTAGTTTGCTTTTTGTTTTTTGGTGGTGGTACTGGGATTTGAACTCAGGTCCTTGTGCTTGCTAGGCAGGCATTCTATCACTTGAGCTACACCCAGGCCTGTTGTTTTCAAGTTTGGGTTTGAGACAGGGTCTCCTGCTTTTGTACAGGATAACCTCAAACTATGATCTCACAAAGCAGGGATTACAGACATGCACCACCATGCCCAGCCAGGCCCTGGTCTTTATGTCCCTTCTGCTACAGGGGGCTCGGTGGAGGGGACGCCTCCTGTCCCAACTCACCAGGGGAGTCTGTGTTCTTGATCACGCCGGTCTTGTCTTTCTGGGCTTCCTCCTGTGCCCCGAGAGGAAGCAGGAAAGATCAGGGCCCTGAGTCCGGCCTTGAACTCCCCCCGACTCCACGACTCCCCACGTACCACATTGGGATAAGGAAAGTCAAACCGGATAAAGACATCCAGGTCGCTGGGGGACAGCCCTGTGGGTACAGGAGGGTCAGATCTGGGGAGAGATGTGGATCCCTCCCCCTGCCCGCCACCCCTCACCTGGGGGCGTGGGCAAGTTGATGCACTTCACGACAAACAGCACCATGTCATTGCTGCTGAGTTCGGGGAAGATCCTTTGGGGAGGGCAGGAAGGAAAGAGGCAGGCAGCTCAGCCCCACACCTGCCACCTTCATTTTTTTTCTTTTTCTTTTTGGAGGCACTGGGGTTTGAACTCAGGGTCTAGCACTTGCTAGGCAGGCACTCTACTGCTTGAGCCACTCCTCCAGCCCTTTTCAGACAGGATCTCACTGTGTAGCCCAGATCGGCCTCAGACTAGCAATCCTCCTGCTTCGGTCTCTCGAGTACCTGGTATTATAGATGTGCGTCAGCACGTCTGGCTTGACAGTATTTCTTGAACTCCCTTACTATTCACTGTCTCTTCACTGAACAGTATTTCTTGAGCCCTACTGTATGCAAGTGGTGGGGCCTAGCTGCCGGGAGGGTTTTTCTTTGTTTGGTATTTCCTCAGCACCTGTTATGTGCACACCACTGCCTTAGTGTTGGCTGCTGTACGTCCTTCAGTTTGCTTAGTATTTCTTTTGTTTTTTACATCTTTTGCTCACTTACTATTTCCTGAGTCCTACCAAGCTCCAGGTGGTGCCCTAGCTACTGGGAACACGGAAGTAAATGAGGCAGACCCTGTCCCTGTGCTCAGGAGCCCATAGAGCTGACTGGGCAATGTCTGAAGAGCTAAAAACCACCACCACCAAAATCCAAACACCTCCCTCAGCTCCTATGGGGTCACGTTTTGAAAACGTGTTTTCAAAAAAGAACCTGCTACCATCCCTCATTGTCCTGCTCACGCCTCATGCCGGCACCAGGGCCTTGCACATCACCAGCCACCCAAACTCTTCCCCACAGGCAAGTCCCGTCCCAGTCTCTGGAAGCACAAAGCCCTCTCCCCCACCCAGGGGACACCAGGGCCCTACTTGATGACACTGAAGGTTCTCTGCTCAAAGCGGGCGGCGGGTGAGGGCAGCCCACGGGCGAAGGCTTGCTTCAGAGTGTCCATGCTCCGTTTGCAGTCCTCTGCCAGCTTCTCGAACCTGCAGGTGAAACAGCTGAGCTCAGCTCCCCGGCCCCCAAGCTGGGCAGGGGGTGTGACTGGTTGTGACGGGGTCGGTGCAGGACGCTCACTTGCTGGTCTCGGTGATGTTGCCCAGGTGGGTAAATTGGTTCGAGTGGCTGAGACACATCTGTGGGACAGATAGCAGACGGTGAGTGGTAGCCCTAACTCTGGGGGCACTGGCTGCCCTGGGCAGGCCTTACCTCATGCTGCTGTCTGAGGAGCTTGGTCAGCTCGCCGTAGCGCCGTGCAGCCTCCTGAGACAGGCCTGGGCCTGGCCGCTGCACCAGGGCAAAATCGTCCTTGTTGACCGGGGCAGGTGGCACCTGGGGAGGACAAGGCTCATGGGGAGGACCTGCTGGCTGGCCACCAGCATGTCCACCCAAGGCTCTATAGAAATGTCACCCTCATTGCCACCTTCCCTGCCCACCGATGTTTCCCTTCCCCTGGACTTTCCTCTTCCTTCCCCTGTCTGCCCTGAGGAACCCATCCTCAGTAGTTTGGGCCACTGTTTATAGAGCCCCTACTGTGTAGGCCCTGCTCTGCAGCTGGGGACACAACAGTAAGTAAGAGACTGAAGTCCCTGTGCTTGTGGAATTTTCTCTTGGGGAAAAATGAGTGGCATACAATAGAAATATGAAGTGCTGGGTGTGGTGGTGCATGCCTATAATCCCAGCACTCAGGAGGCTGAGACAGGAGGATTGCAAGTTTGAGGCCAGCCTGGGCCACATAGTGAGACCCTGGGTCAAAAACAAAACAAGCTGGAAGGAACCTGGGCCCCAAGCACTTCCTGTTATTGAGCCTGGCCCACCCTGGGTGACATGCAAGAAACGCGTGTGTCCATTTCAGCTGCTGTCTTTAGCTGAGCCTGGACTCGGACTAATCCACTGCAAGTCACACAGGGGCTCAGGGGCCGGAGCCTGCCTGGTAGACACCCGGAAGGTCACCTTGGCGATGTCCACGGGCAGCCCATTGCGGGAGGCCTCCAGCATGGGCTCCAGCCCCTTGGCCTGGCGCAGGTGCATCTTGGCGCCCTCCACATCATTTTTCTGCTTGGCACGCAGAGCGGCCTGCAGGAGCTGCTTCTTGCGGCCCTCCAGGAAGGCTAGCTGCTGCTGGGCTGTAGGCAGAGGGGCTCTCTGGTGGGTGCCCTGACCATTGTGGTCAGACAGGAAGTCAGGGGGGCGGCGGGGAGGTGGCACTTACCTCTGGTGGATGTGCTCTTGGGGGCTGTTTTGGCTGATCCAGGCTGGGGGGCTCTGGAGGGTGCAGCCTTGGGCTGGGCCGTGGGAGCCACGGGGCTGCTCTGTTGCCAAGGGACAAAAAGAAGTCACAACATTCCCAGTGACGGCAAAGACTCATGCCCAAGGGTCAAGACCCAGCACCAACAAGGACCCATGTCAGCTTCTGACACTTTCAGTTCACTCTCACTGACTGTATCAGTGAGACTATGTCTATGTCCCCTCTATAGATGGGGTACAAAGAGCATCATGGGTGGCCCTGGGCCCTGTGGTCAGGAGAACACAGAGCCAGGATGTGCAGCTGGGCAGTTCCAGTTCTAACCTGGGACCCTCAAGACTTTCCCTTATGTCACCCCCACCTCAGTGCAGGACACAGCTTGTCACACCTTCTTAGGCGCTTCGTCCTCTTCATCCTCCGGGCCTTCGTCCTGGCTGGCCAGCTTCATGGCGGTCTCCAGGACCCCCACCAGGCTCTGCTGGGCAGGCTCAGTGGCCTCCAGGCCCTGGATGGGGGGAAAACCTGGACAGCAGGGCATGGCAGGGCCAGTCAGGAAGGATAATATCTGCACCATCATGGGGAGAGGCAGAGAAGTCTTGGGCCTTTGAGTCTATTTTGTTGGCGGAGTGTTTACGCAGTGCTGGGGATAGAACCCAGGGCCTTGTGCATTCTATGCAAGTGCTGACCACTCGGCAGCACCACCAGCCCCCTGGAGTCCAACTTTCAGTCCAAGAAGAGACTGTCGTGTCCTGTAGACCACTGCCAGCCTCCCTCAGGCCTTGACCAAACCTCCTGGGTGTTCTCTGTGAGCAGGTGTGCTGAGCACTGGAGGAGGCCCTGAGTGGGGATGCTCCAAGGTGACAGGGTCCAGATGCAGAAGAAATTTGCTCTCATAGGGAACCTGGGGGCAGCTCTGAGAACCCTTGGGGGACTTCTAGCCTATTAGGGGAGGCTGAGCAAGTGTCTGGAAAGACAAAAGCTGAGGATGAGGAAGGAGCAAGTGGAACGAAGAAGGGAGAGAGACAGTGGTGGGTGGAGGAACCAGCTCTCCAAAAGGATGGCCTGATTTTGTGCTTTGACCCATTTCCCTGGTGTAAACACTCCTGGTATGATGGACTTTGAGCCTGCAAAACTCCTCAATGGGCAGCCATCGGGGTCCCTGAGCCTGCCCTGGAGATGGACAGCGCAGGCCAACCCAGGGTGGGAGCCAGAGTGAAGCCTATCTGGGGATAACAGCAGCAGGGTGGGTGCTGGGCCAGTGCTAGGGGGGCCAAGAGGGGTGGGAGTCTGGCCTACAGTCAAGGCTTGATGGGGAGTGGGGCACAGCAGAAGGGTGGAGCGCTAGGGGTGGGGCAAACGGCCAAGGCTGGGTGGGAGCTGGGGTGGGGCCTACCTGGGGGCACCGGCAGCTCAGCCACATCCACTGCTCGGCCGGCCTTGTGTGCCCGGGTGGCATCTTGGTATTGCTGCAGGCCACACAGGTTGAGTTAGGGCCACAGGGGAGAAGGCCCTGGGAGCTGCCACCTGGCCCCCCACGCACCTTGACTATTCGCTCGTGCATGCGCGCCTTCCGCTGGTCTCCCTTGGCCTTGGCCTGGGCTGCAGCTACCTGGTATCGCTCCATCCGCTGCTCCAGTGCCTCCAGGAGGGTCCGTGGAGGTCGGGGAACCTCTGAACAGGAAGGGGTGGGGGCGGGTTAAGGGCCCAGGGGAGAGGGGACAGTATTGCCTCGGCCTTCCCATCCCAGAAGGTCCCAAGTGGCCTACCTGATGAGACAGGTACCGAGGCAGGTGTTGGAGGCTGCGGTGTTGGTGATGGGGGCTCTGAGGACAGGTGGTCTGGGGACAGAGAGGTCCAGGCTAGTGAAGGGCTTGCTTGGTGACCCCCTGCCTCCCACCCAGGACTGTCCTGTCCTTAGTCCTGACCAATGGGACAACAGCAGCAGCCAGAACTTAGCCAAGCCATCTGGGAGGGAGGTGTCCTTACCAGGTGGAGGGGGCAGACCAGACAGGTCCACCGGCTCCCCTCGGCTCAGGGCCTCCAAGATGGCATCAAAACTCTGAAAGAAGGAAGGAGATAGGGAAGGAAGCTGTAGCTGGGGACCACGACTCGGTGAAGAGTCTCCATACCCTGCCTGCTGACAGAGGACTCCTGGCTCTAACCCTTCCATGAACCATCTTTCTCCATCCTCTTCTGATACATACACCCAGTTTACAGAGGAGGTAAACTGAGGCTCCAAAACATACAGCTCACTAGAGCTAAGGAGTGACCAGGCCAGGATTCAAACTTGGGGGGGATCTGCCTCCCACTGTTGGGGGCGTTCTGCCCTCTCCCTCCTGCCCTGTCTGTCAGTCTGGACAGCACCTTGGCCACACGGAAGTGTCTGGCAGCGGTGGCGGTATCTCCCTGCTGCTTGGCATGGAGGGCAGCCAGTTTGTATTCCCGTTGGCGGCTCTGCAGCTGGGCCAGGGGGGTGCAGGGGCCTGGAAGAGAGAACCAGTTGTCAGACGCCTCCAAGGCCCAGGCCAATTTCAAGACACAAATTATTCCTATTCGATTCCCACAAACAAGACTGTTCTGGATCCATTTTATTGATGGGAAAACTGAGGTGCAGATGATGCCTCCCTAAGATCACATGGCTGCCGATGGCACAATGACCTGGAAGGCTCTGGAGCCACTAGACCTTGGTCCCCAAAATCCTGGAAAACCTTTTGGACCCTTACACACTGTTAAGTCAACAGTTGTCATTAATCATCTTAAGCTTAAAAGGTAGCTGACGTGGTTGTTCGTGGTGTCTACAAATATTGACGTTTTTAAAAAGAAAACCAAGGCTAGCAGAGTGGTTCAAGTGGTGGAGCTCCTGCCTGGCAAGCATGAGGCCATGACTTCAAACCCGAGTGCCACCAAAACAAAACCAAGAAATCACTATTTTGTATTTTTTTTCTCCTTTGGAGGAGGGTGTTCCACTGGGGACAGAACCCAAAGCCTCACACAGGCTGGGCAAATGCTCTACCACTGAGCTGTGCCCCCAGTCCTGACACCACACTTTCAAATCCAATGTATTTTAGCTGCCATGGTGGTTTGAAATTCACCAACACCCTCTTCTTATTTTGTTCCATTTTTTGAAACTGTGGGAAAATACACATAACCATCTTTTCCTTTTTATTTTTGTGGCTTTGAACTCAGGGCCTGGCACTTGCTGCACAGGCAGTCTACCACGAGCCATGTCCCAGACATTTTTTTTGTGTGTGTGGTACCGGGACTTGAACTCAGGGCCTACACCTTGAGCCACTCTACCAGCCCTATTTATTGTGAAGGGTTTTTCGAGATAGGGTCTCGCAGAACTATATACCCAGGCTGGCTTCGAACTGCAATCCTCCTGATCTCTGCCTCCTGAGTGGCTAGGATTATAGGGGTGAGTCACCAGTGCCCAGCTCTTTTTTTGGTGGTAGTGGGCCTCACACTTGCTAGCCTTGTACTCTACCACTTGAGCCACTCTGCCAGCCCTCCTCCCTTTTTTAAGACCAAATAATATTGTATGTTTGCCCACACTTTGTGCACCCCCACAAAGGTGGTCTATGGAGAGCCCACCCAGATCCTGGGTCACACTCACCACCTACCCGGGGGCTTAGCCGAGCCTGGGGAAGAGGCAGGGGCAGTGGCTGGAGGGCCTTCCAGGATGACCCTAGGCTCCGGGGCTGGCAGGCTGGTGGGGGCTGGCTGGGGAGGTGCCGGGGTGTGGCTTGGTGTGGCTGCTGAGGTCCTCCCTACAGCCACAGGTGGTGGGATGTCCCCTTCGTCAATGGAGTTGCCCTTCCGGACGGAGGCCAACAGGTTTTCTAGTGTCTGAAACAGGCAGGGCGTGGGTTCAGGAAAGGAAGGACACTTGGCACTCCTGGGGGCTGGTGTGGGGTCCTGCACCCTACCCTCTGCCCCTCACCTTGAGCCCGCGATCATAGCGTCTCATCTTGGCGCTGTCCCCGGCTTGCCTGGCGCTCTCAGTGGCCAACTGGTAGAGGGCCAGCCTCTCCTGCAAGGTGCCTTCCACCTCTGTGGGGGGGGCTGCGAGCTTTGGCTGTGGGAGGGGCCAGAGCACTGTGTGGGTGGTGGCCCACCTCAACCAACACATCCCAGTATGGACTCATCATCCCTGGCCCAGCCTCCCTCAGCCCAGCAGGGCAGAAATCCCAGTCTCTGTGGCGGGAACTGGGACTCTGCGGTTTCATGCCACTGACAGGGACAAAGGTGACCCCTGGACCCCAAGCTGGGTGGGGCACAGCAGGAGGGATACCTGGGCCACAGGTGGAGGGGGCTCCGAAGCCTTTTGCTCATCTCCCAGGACCTCATTCAGTTCTGCCTGTGAGGACACATGGCCAGGGTGAGGTCTGATGGGATGGGGACAGGGTCAATGAGAGACCACCCTCCCCCACAACGCCTGAGGACTCACCAGCAGGTCATCATCAGCTTCCACGTCGTCCTCATCTGTCCCTTCCTCCTCCTCCTCATCCGGGTCTCTCATGCACAGCCTGGCCATCTTCTCGATGGCTTCCATGGGCAGGGGACCTGGTGGCAGGGGAGATCCCAGCTAGACCAGGATTCCCCAAGTGTCCCAGCCTCCCACCCCGGACATCTGGGGCCTTGAAGAATGGGACCACCAGCAATGGGGCAGCAGCCTCTTCCCCTGGCCCTCCAGGGCACCCCACTGTCTTCAAGCCCTCCCTCTTCTGCCTGTGCACTCCCAACACCCAACTCCCTGTGCTTATCTCTTTGTTATCCAGCCTCCGTTCTGGGGCCAGGCATCCTGAGTACAGCCCTGCACCTTTCTCACTGTGCAACCTTGGGCAAGTCGCTTCCCCTCTCTGGACCTGTTTCCCATGTGTTAACATGGGAATAACATTCCTCACAGGTAGGTTGTGGGGGCTAGAGGGCAAGGAAGGTCTTAGACCAGCGTACAGTACTCCCCTCTTATGCACAGAGGATTTGTTCTGAGACCCTCCTCCCCCTGTACCAAGACCCTCTGGATACCGTGTGATTTCCTTCGTGCCCAGCAGTGTAAGACATAGAAGCAGAGTCCACCTGTCCTCCCATGGTTTCTTTGCTTCCCCATTCTTGCACTTTGGGGCCATTACTAAGTAAAACAAGGGCTACTTGAACACAAGCACTGTGATATTGAGAGAGTTGGTCTGGTACCTTCGATGGCTACTGTTACTTGCAGGTAGCCTATACAGGGTGGACACACTGAGCAAAGGAATAAATCGAAACCCAGACACGACGGTGCACCATTTCATCCTGCTACCTAGAATGGCGTGCAATTGAGTTTATGATTTATTTGTTTCTGGAATTTTCCATTTAATATTTTCAGACTGTGGTTGACTGTGGGTGACTGAGACCACAGAAAGCAACAGCAACACCATGAGTGGGGAATGGAGGGTCTATTATACTGTTGGAATTTTGACATTCACACTATCGTCATTATTTGAGGTAGCTACATTCCGTAAGGTTCTATAAGAGACTGAATTAGGCTGGGCATGGTGGCTCATGTGTGCAATCCCAGCTACTCAGGAGGTGGAGATCAGGAGGATTGCAATTCAAGGCCAGCCTGTGCAAAAAGTTAGCCAGACCCCAACTCAACAAGTGAATCCAGTGTGATGGTGCACACCTGTGATTCCAGCTTTGTGGAGTTATAGGTAGGAGAATTGCTGCCTGAGGCCACTGGAGCAAAAAGCACAAGATTCTCTCTGAAAAATAACCTAAAGCAAAAAGGGGCTGGGGACATGGCTCAAGTGGTAGAGTGCTTGCCTAGCAAATGCAAGGGCCCTGAGTTCAAATACCAGTATCACCAAAAAAAATGGGAGGAGGGACTGAATTAGTGACTACTGGACCACAGCAGGAATGAGAAAACTCAGGCTCAAGTTCACATGAGCCTTGACTCACTTTTTTTTTTTTTTTCGTGAGTTTTCTTTTTTTGCTGGGGTTTGAACTCAGGGCTTCACACTTGCAAACCAGGTGGTCTACCTTTTAAGCCACACCAGTCCATTTTCTCTGGTTATTTTGAAGATGGGGTCTTGTGAACTATTTGCCCGGGCCAGCCTGGAACCGTGATTCTCCATATCTCAGCCTCTCAAGTAGCTGGGATTTCAGGTGTGAGCCACCACATCTGGCCTAGTCACAACATTAACAGCTGATAAATACACACCCTTGCTTTTTGAGTGTTTCTGTTTAAAGACACCTTATGATAGATATTGGTTACTATTTAACACTGAACTCGTGGCCAACAGAACTGTAATTCACGCCTAACACATGCATTTTCCACACCAGGCACATCCCAGCCATCTTGAGCTTAGAAACACTCAGCAGCACTTGACCTTTATGCTTCAGGCAATTTTCAACAGTTGAATGACCAATAAAAAGCACAGTGAGAAAAATGTGGCAGCAAACAGACCAGGAAAGGGACTCTTTGTTTACTGTATGAGAACTGAGCAAGAAGGCAGTGTCACCTTCCTGACCTTATGTGCAGGTGGCTCAGACATTCTCTTCGAGTGTCTCTGAATGAATACCAAAGTTCTGCATGTTCTCATTTTGAGGCTACAAATAAATTTTTGTGAGCAAATTCCTAAGTACGAAATCCACAAATAAAGAGGATTGACTGCATTAGGTAAAATGTTAAATTCTGCTCAATCACTAATGAGCCTTCTGCCTCCTCCCATCTACTCCAGGGCCATTATACCTGCTGTGACACCTTCCAAAAAGTCCTCCCCAGTCATTACAAGCCTCTTCCCATTGTGGATGCTTCCTGTGTGACAGGTCTCTCCTTGGCTCTGTGCTTCCCCTACCAGCCCTAATCACGGGATGGCAGGTTGGGTCTGGTGAGAACATGACTTTATTACATGTCACACAACACTTGGGAAGTGCTTTGACTCCTGTGATAGAAGCACATTTATTGTGCCCATTTTACAGGAGGGAAAACCAAGGCCAATACAGGCAATGTGATGAGTAAGTGGCAAGGATGTGACTTAAACCCTCCCAAACATAGTAGTCTATGTTTGACTACTGACTCTGTAACCAGAACATGAACTCTAGGATGACAGGAACCTTGTCTGTTTTGTTTTTTGTTTTGTTTTGTTTTGTTTTTTTGGTGGGACTGGGATTTGAACTCTAGGCATTGTACTTGCAAAGCAAGTGCTCTACCACTTGAGCTGCACCTCCAGTCCATTTTGCTTTGGTTATTTTGGATATGGGGTCTGGCAAATTATTTACCCAAGCTGGGTTCAAACTGAGATTCTCCCCCATCTACCCAACTGCCCAGTTCTGAAGCCAGCCCACAGCAGAAGATCCCAAACTCTCCCCAAATGTCTTGAGCATCTTACCTTTGCCTTTGAGCTTCTCCAGGGCCTGGGGCTGGCCTCCCACCAAGGCCAAGAACTCAGCCTCCAGTTCCTCATTGTTAACTCCATCCTCAGGAATCATCAGGCCGTCGGGGGACAGGTCAACCAGCAAGCCCAGCTGTGGGAACAGTGAGGGTCCAGTCTGCCCTTGGGAGGTACCACTTGGCCAGAGGCAGCCATGATGGACCCAGAGACCCCATGGAAGAAAGGAACCAAGGTGTCAGGGGTAAGCCATTTTCCTGGGGGATGCCAGGAGACTGAAACAGGCCCAGCATGCAACAGGTGTCCCAGATAGGCCTGGCCCTTTGGCACAGATCAGATGTGGCAAAGGGCAGGTGGATAGACGGAGCTCCCTGCTCTGGACCCATGCCAAGTTCACAGGGCAAGCACACCCTACACCCTGCCCAAAGCAAAGCCAATCTGCACACTTGGGCAATTCCTTCCCGAATCCTCTGCAGACAGGGCATACAGGAGGTTATGGGGCATCAGGAGCAATTAGAGGCTCTGACAAGGGTGGCAGGGGCAGGGGTGGTGCAGTTCAGTGGTGAGTGCTTGCCTAGCATGTGCAACGACCCTGGGGTCCATCCCCTGCACTGCTGTGTAAACCTGTCTTCTTATTTTGGTTAACGACCAATCAAAATGTGATACTATGGACTGGGGTGTGGCTCAAGCGCTAGAACTTGAGGCCCTGAGTTCTAACCCAGGCACCACCAAAATCAAAAACGGGTAATATTATGTTGAATTCTATGAAACTGTCCTGTCAGTCAAAATTGGTAAATAGTGACAATCTGCATGACTCCACCTAACAGGAATAATAGTAACAGTATAATAACATATGTTGAGTGCTGGGTTCTGGCACTTTCCATCAACTATCTCAATGAATCTTCACAAATGTCCTGTGAGGTATGGACTGCCCACTTCACAGAAGAGAAAACTGAGGGCCAGAGTTGTAAAATCAGGAGTCCAATGTGCAAAAGCCAGGAGGGAACTTCCTGTTGGGCAGACTAATATTTGAGCACAAAACTATGTCCTGGGCTCCCTCCAACAAAGGAGCAAACTCCTCCAGGTGTCCGATTTACACTTCACTCTGGCCAGGCTGTTAATCTCTATGACCTTGGGCAGGTGTCCAGCTCTCTGGGCCTCAGTGTCCTCATCTGAGCAATAGGAACAAAGTGTCTGACCTGGCCACGCTGATGCAAGGCTTTGAACAGCAGGTTCGATTGCTGCCCCTCCCTAACCAGCTATTGAAGCAACAGGTGGCCCCGAAACCAGGGCGGGGCGCCAGGAGCTGGGGGTGCCCAAGGCCAGGAGGCCACACTATGGGGGATCAAGCCTCACCTGGAGGGGGCGGGGAAAGGGTTCACCTGGGGGGCGGAGATCGGGCTCCCCTGGGGGGTGAGGCTCTCCCTTGTGGGTAAGAAAGGGGTTCGAGGGGATCCCCCCTTCGGCGGGGGCGTAGGGCGCAGACTCACCTGGCGGGCGGCGGCGGCGCCTCGGCCCGGGGGTCCCGGGGGTCCCTTCCTCTTGTGCATCGTCCAGGCTGGATGCCCAGCCCCCGCGCTTGGCCTTGCTCTGCCTCCTCCCCGGGGGCCTGTCAACGCGCACGCGCCCTTCCTAAGTCCTGCGTCCCTCCTCGGCGGCCGGCGAACGCAAACCCGTCGCTCTCGGTTCTCGGGGTGCCCTCCCCACTTCCGCCTTGGCCTTCAGGCGCCGCCACACCGGAGCACAGACACCGGACTAGCCGGGCCCGCCGCAGAGAAACTACAACTCCCGGCAGGCAGTGCGCGGGTGCGCACGCGCGTGACGATGAGGTGTGGAGGGTGGGGCCACGGGCTACGTGCGAAGGAGGCGGAGCATGCGCAGGTGTGAGGCGATGCTGGCTGTGCGCATGCGTGGGGCGGGGCCTCGCGGACGCGGGAAAGAGGCGGAGTGCGCGCGGGTGTGAAGAGCTCAGAGGGCTGCGTGACTCTCAGAGTTGCGTAGCCTCCCTTGCCTGGGGATCTCACCTGGGTCTCTGGTCTTGACGGAGGGAGGGATGCCCTGTTTTTCGGTGTTATTGGGGAGCTGTTCGCTGGATGTCAGGTCCACGGTGCTTAGGTCCCCCAGTCCCAGATTTACGGTCACGGGGGTCTCCCTGAGTGTCCAGTTGCCATTTCTCAAAAAATATGCAACGCAGGTAATTTAAGCTACTTGTTCCCCAGCAGGTCCAAACAGAGCTTGTTCCTGCTAAGGAAGGAGTGACTTCGACGGCTTCTGTGGCCCAGGTCGGTTTGGCCTTGCGTGGCGCCATGGCCGCAAGAAACCCGCCCTTGGTGACCCCTTGGTGACTCTCGCCCCTGCGAAGGCCCCGTGTGTCCCCCTTAAGTCCCCGGATGTCTTTTTAATTTTGTTTTGGCTTTTGGGCCACTGTGTAGCCCAGGCTGGCCTTGAACTCGCAATCCTCCTGCTTCAGCTTCCTGAGGGCCCAGATTACAGACATGAACCACTGTGCCTGGCTCCCAGATGATTTTATAGGGTCTCAGGTGGCGCTAAAAGTTTTTAGTTGTCCCGGGAAGGATCCCAGTCACCCCAGCCCTGGGGGGAGGGGTGTTATCTAGTTGGCTCCAACTCAGAGACTAGAACTGGGATCCCCAGGACTCCCCCCCACCATGGCCCATGTGACTCCAGCATGGGGCAGCTTTCAATTCCTACCAGGCCAAGACCCGAGGTGGCTGTGACCAGGTGTCCCACCCAGTGTCCTGCTGGGGCGGCTAGATGGGCCTGGGTGGAGGAGGGGAAACCCCTGTTTGTCCTCAGCCAAGGACGCTGGATACAGACAAGGGACAGTGAGTGCCTGCTTGGAACAATGGAATTTTTGTTTGTTGGTTTCAGATATCTCAGGGGAGAGATAAAATGAGTAAGAGGAAGAAGCTGCGGACCTCAGGTATCTGCTTCATTTAAGTCTCTTTTTTTTTTTTTGGCTTTTTTTGCGGTACTGGGATTTGAACTCAGGGTCTTCACCTTGAGCCACTCCACCAGCCCTTCCTTTTCTGTGATGGTTTTTTTGAGACAGGGTCTTGTGAACTATTTGCCTGGGCTGGTTTCAAACCACCATCCTCCTGATCTCTGCCTCCTGAGTAGCTAGGATTATAGGTATGAGCCATTGGCGCCTTGCAAGTCTGATATTTCTTATTATTTTTTTTTTGCAGAGCTAGGAATGGAACCCAGGGCCTGGAATGTGCTAGGCCAGCACTTTACCACTGAGCCACATCTCCACCCCAAGTTGGCACTTTTAATTTTATTTACTTATTTTTTTTGGCAGTACTGGGGTTTGAACCCAGGACCTCAAGCTTGCTAGGCAGGCACTTTACCATTTGAGCCACTCCACTAGTACTAATTTTGTTTTTGTTTTTCTTTTTGAAAAAAACATGGCAACTTGCATGTTGCACAGGCTAGAACTCCTTGACTCAAATGATCCTCCTCCCTAGCCTCCCAAGTAGCTGGGACTATAGCTATGCACTACCACACCTGGACTAAGTTGGCAATTGATTGCTGCTTCTGTTTTGAAGACAAATGTGGGCATAACTGCCCTCAGCTCCTTAAGGAAAACGAGGATTTAGTACTGCTAGTAAGGACAACAGGAACTATGGAGAATGTTTGCAGTACAAAGTGAAAGATTCTGGCTTCTGTGTAGATTAATACTTCTAGGGCATCAGGAACATACGTGAGGGAGCACACTAATACTCACTTGGAGGCCTGGGGGAGTCGCCCAAGTGGTAGAGTGCCTGTCTAGCAAGCGTGGGCCCTGAGATCAAGCCCAAGTACAACACACACACACACACAAAAAAAAAAAACCTGCAGATGCTCAAGGTCCATTGGACTACCTCACACGATGTAAATTCTTACTCTGTATTGATAGGGAATAAGAAGAAAAAACACCTGGATACCTTCAGGAGGGATGCTATTACTTTCTCTAAATATTTTCCATTGGTACTTGGTTGAATCCGAATAAGGAACCCAGGATACAGAGCAGAGGGCTGTCTATATACACAAATATAGTACGTTTGGTGGAACGGGGGTTTGAACTCAGGGCTTCACACTTGCAAAGCAGGTGCTCTGCCGCTTGAGCCATACCTCCAGTCTATTTTGCTCTGGGTGTTTTGGAGATGGGGTCCTGAGAACTATTTGGCAGCCTGGACTCTAACCTTTATCCTCCTGATCTCAGTCTCCCAAGTAGCTGGGATTATAGGTGTGAGCCCCTGTGCCCCACTACAAATAACAGTATTTTGACTGAGAAATATAATCATCATACATTCTGATCTGCAGCTTCGATTTTTCACTTCTTAGTATATCATGACTAGGTTTGCTTGCTAATGCACACACAGAACCTCTTCACTTGAGGGCTGGGGTGTGGCTCAGTGTCACAGCACCACACACACACACAGTGCTGGGGTTTGAACTCAGGGCCCTCATCTTGAGCCACTCCACTAGCCTTTTTCAGTGATGGGTTTTTGAGATAGGGTCTCGTGGGCTATTTGCCTGGGCTGTCTTCAAACTGCAATCCTCCTGACCTCTGCCTCTTGAATAGCTAGGATTACAGTTGTGAAACACTGGAGTCTAGTCAAAAAACCATTTTCTTCACTTGAAAATTCAAGCACCCATATTTTTCTTTTTTTGGTTTTGTTTTTGAGATAGGGCTTCACTGTGTAGTCCAGACTGGCCTCGAACTTTAGATCATCCAAGTATGGACATCCTCCTGAATGCTGGGATTATAGATGTGCACCACCACACCCTGCTACAAAACACCCAGTTTTAGATGGGGTGGCTCCATTTCCCTGTCATTGTTGAAAGAAAATCAAATTTCTTAGACATTCAGAAATGTTTTCTTTCTTAGGGAGTGTCCCTTATGTGGGAAGGAAAAGAAACCATTAACAATTTGAACGTGTTTTGTGCAGAGATGAGTAACAGGCCCCTTGGAGACACAGGAGTTTCTCTGACCATGGAGGGCAAAGCGGGGGACAGCCAGGCCCACCCATGTAAAGTCAGCTGGGACCTCTCCTGGCAGTGGATTCCCAGGCTCACTGGCCTGTGAGCTGGCCCTGGACAGCTCTGTGTGTCCACAGACAGGATGGGAAGGAGGAAGGAGGTTCTGGCAGGTAGTGAAAGCAGTCCTTTCCCTCCAGGCGTATTTGAACACAAGGCTCTGCCTTATTTTATCTTAGATTAGTCCTGTGGGGACAATCTCAGAAAGGAAGTGGGAGACTCTTCACTTCTGTTGATGTTGCTGCTTTTTATTTTGGTACAAACTCCATTGAATCAGCCAAATGAGCTAGTGTTTGGGAATCCATGTCAGAAACCAAATAAACAAAGCTGCTGTATTTTGTTGCCTTTTCTGGCAGACCACAGGGTGGGTGGGCACCTGTTTGCGTAAGAAATAACCATGCAAACTTTCTGGGGCTGCCAGCACTCACTGGACTGGGCACCTGAGGGGGAACTGCAGGGAAAGGACAGAATCAAAGGGTGTCATATGCTGAGCTCTAGCCCGGGAGACCCTCGAGGTGGAGTCAGGGAAGAGACAGCCAGCCAGATACTCAGCGGTGGAGTTAAGGCCTAAATGGGCACACATGATCCAGAGCAGAATTGGAAGAAATCACCAGAGGGCAGAGCGCTTGCCTAGCATGCACAGGGCGCTAGGTTCCATCCCCAGGACTGAAAAGAAAAGAATTAAAAAGAGAGTTGCAGTGGTTTAGGGGAACACAGCTGACTGGGGACCAGGGAACCCTAGCAGTGGGGGTTAGGGGAAGGGGACTCATTCAGTGTTTTTTTTTTCAAAATGAGTAGGCACATACGGAGCTGAGGGTGGTGAGAGTCTGTCTGTCTGCCCCAGGAAGGCAGGGTCAGGCTGTCATTTGCTTCTTTGTTTTCCCTGTCTGGGAAGAAGTGCTCAGTAAATGCACAAGAACTCTGTTTTTCCTTTTTGCGGTACTGGGATTTGAACTCAGGGCCTCATCCTTGCTCTGCAGATGCTCTACACTTGAGCCACCCACCCCCAGCCCAGTTTTCAGGTTGGGGCTCACATTTTTGCCCAGGCTGGCCTCGGATGGAGATCCTCCTACCTGCAACCTTCCATATAGCTGCAATTACTGGTGTGCACCACCATGCCTGGTCGCATGAGGACTCTTAAGTCTGTGTGCTTTGAAGTTGGACTGGATCCCAGTCTTTGCTCGGCCTCAGATTTCTCATCTGTAAGATGGCTTCGCAGCACTGCCCTACTTTGAGGTGCCACTTGCAACACAGAGGCTCTTAAGACAGCATCTGATGTGGTAGCGCACATCTAGAATGTACGCCTACCATTTGTTCACTGAAACAGGATGAGGTTGGGGCTAGGATTAGAGAGCTCTCACCAGCCACCCATGATTGACAGTTTTTGTGTAAGGGAGTTTCCTTCATTCAACAAATAGATATTCAAGATGGCTGTGATGGCATACACCTGTAATCCCAGCCCTGGGAAGGTAGAGATTAGGAGGATCACAGTTTGAGGTCAATCTAGGCAAAAAGTTACTGAGACCCCATCTTGCCCAATAAGCAGGATGTACAAGCAGTTGGTGGTACATGTCTGTAATCCCAGCTATGCTGGAAGATCTAGGTAGGAGGTCTAGGCTAGCCCTGAGCAAAAATTTGAGACCCCACCTTAAAAATAACTAAAGCAAAATATGCTGGAGGGGTAGCTCAAGTGGTAGAGCCCCTGCCTAGTAAGCACAAGGCTCTAAATTCAAATCCTAGCATCACCCCCCCCAAAAAAAAGGTGACAGATATTCATGAGCACCTTTAGACTTGGGGGTAGAAAAAGACACCACCAGTTGCTTTTGGTAACAGGGAAGGGAATGCAGAGACAGGGACCAGGAGGTGGCTGAGACATGACCTCCTTAGCACCCTTCCAATCCCACTTTTTCCAGGACAAGTATTGTGCAGGAATCCTGGGAAGAGTAACTTGGTGCACGATTTTGTCTTGTCTGTGCCGTGAGGGGTATTTTCTGTGTGTATGTATTTGGTCATCTCTGATGAACTTATGGACTAGCTGCAGTGTCCTGGATGCTATCGTAGGCACTTGGGACCCAGAAGACAGTGAGGCGAGGTGCCTCCTTGCACACAGCAGGTTCATGACTGGGGGGACAGGAGATAGATGACTCAATACCTCGTGTGCTTGCACAAAAGCATCAAGTGATGGTGGGGGGGTGGGGTAAGGGCTGCAAAGGGAGGCTCTATAGAGACCTCAGGCCCCTCTGCAGGGCCATTGGTGCTGAGAGCTGCCACATATCTCTGTCAGTTCTGCAGGGAGAGAGGTGTCTGGATCAGGTTGACCCATGTTGTTTGGAACCAGGCTGCAAATATCCAGTCTCAGTCATGGCCAGGCCATTAGGCAGAAACCCTTGAGTCAGCCAGGCATGGTGTTACATGCCTGTAATCCTAGCATTTGAGAGGCAGAGGTGTGAGGATCATGAGTTTGAGGCCAGCCTGGGCTATGTAGTGATACCCTATCTCAAAAAATAAAAACCAAAGAGACTGAACCTTCAATCACATGGCCACATGTCCCACGGTGTTGCCTCCTGGCTAGACTTCCTTCTCATCTGTCCCTCTTCAGGGGGACATCATAACAGGGACTTCTCAGCCTTGGGACAAACTGTTCACTTACAGAACAGCCACACCTCTGCTGTGCATGCCCCCACATCCTCCACCCTGCATTTCCCTGTCTCCAAACCAGGAGAAGGAGGTCATCCCCCGAGACCCCCCAAGAACCCAAGGCTGCAGGACTCCGACAGGGGCTGCCCGAGTTCCGAGTTCGCTCAAATGCATCGCCCTGAAAAGTCAGAAGACAACCCGGGACTTTCTGCCCCTGCCGAGCAGAGCAGAGAGGAAGCAGGACAGGCGGTCCCCAGGTAGGTGGTTCAAAACATTCCAGCAAGACTCCCCTAGTTACAGTCACAGCCAGCAGCCCTGTGGGAGAAGATGCAAGAGGGGGGTGGACCAAGATGACCTCCCAGTGCTGTGATCCCCATCCTGGGGCTCAGGACTGGGGTTCTTCTCAAAGTACCTCTCTGCTGAGAAAGGTCAGTGTTTAACCATTGGCACAGATGAGTAAATTGTTCAAGGTTGCACGGTGAAACTCCATATCCTGCCTCAATCCTATTCTGCATTCCTTCTCTTCAGTCACAATGCGACCCAAGAAGCCCTTGGTGTGGAAAATAATAACTCATAAAAAAGCCAGGCCAATGGCTCCCGCATGTAATCCCAGCACTTGGAAAGCTGAGGCAGGAAGATCAAGTGTCAAAACCAAGCCAGGTGCTGGTGGCTCACACCTGTAATCCTAATTACTCAGGCAGAGATCAAGAGGATCTTGGTTCAAAGCCAGCCTGGGCAGGCAGTTTATGAGACCCTATCTCAAAAAAACCCATCACAACAAAATGGCTGAGTGGTAGAATGCCTACTTACCAAGTGTGAGGTGCTGAATTCAAACGCCAGTGCTGCAAAAAGAAAAAAATTTTTAATTCACACACACCAATTGTACATATGTGGAGTACAGTGTGATACTTAAAAACAAAACTGGTTTTGTTTGTTTGCAGACTGTGTAACTCAGGTTGGTCTCCAACTCTCAGCCTCAGCCTCCTGGGTGCTGGGATTACAGGTGTGTCACCACACCCAGCTCACAGTGTGATCTTTCAGTATAATACACAGCAGTCAGGCCAAGGTCACTGGCATATCGTCAGCTTCAACATGTATAGTTTGTTAGTTTGGGGAACATTCAGAACCCTTTCTACTGGCTATTTTGAAATACACAAGTAGCTGTCCTTAACCATACTCCTCAGGTGGGGTGTGGTTCAGTGGTACAGTGGTGCTTAGGGTGCACTCTCTCCCCATCTTCCCCAGCCTCTAGTAACCACTCTTCCTCTCTCCACTCCTAGCTTCCACACTGCGTGGTGTCTGCCAGGCTGTGCCTAACGTCTTTCACTTCCCATCATGCCCTCCACTTCCATCCAGGTTGCCACCAGTGAGAGTTTCATTCCTTTTTATGGCTGAATAATATTCCATTGTGTATACCGTCCACCTTAAAGCAGGTGTTGCAGGGCCGCCCTCCGGGAGACTCTTAGCACCACTGTTGCAGGTTTCATTCTCCCTTTGTCCTAGTATTCCACGGAGGACTAAAGATCCTCCTGGGTTTTTCTTCCTCCACAGCAGCTGCCCTGATGCAGAAACAGGAGCTGCCTGCAGGCTCATGGGGCAAACAGGAGAAGAGCTCGTGGCCCTGCCTTCCCAGGTGAGCCTGTTTTGCCGGCCTCGGTTCACTGTCAACAGCTGCTTCTGCTCACATGGCTGGAGGGAAGGAATGTGCAGGCCGAGGAGGACGGAGGGGGTCGGAAGCTACAAGACAGGAGCTGGTGGGGGTGGCTTTTTCTAAAACCCGGTTCTTTCGGCGTTGTTCTTGTGTATCTGGTTTACAGAGCTCAGTTGGGAGGTTTGTCCCCCAGTTTGTAAAACCCAGGAAGGCAGTAACAAGAAATGCAGAGGTCAAGGAAGAGGACCCCGAGATCCCAGCTACTAGTCTGGTAAGACCCTGAATCTGCCAGGCCGCGCTCTGCACATGCGCAGCCTCTTGTTGAAGTTTAACCTTGTTTTTACAGGCCTTGGTGAGCCCCGCCTCGTTTTCAGGGGAACGAAGGCCTTTAGGCATGGAGTCCAGTCAGCTGAGCCCTCACCATGGTGGGGGAGGGGATGGGGCCAGCTCTCTTCCCCAGGTTGTGGGAAATAATCAAACTCAGAGAGGCAGCCACACTGTCTCCCCACCCCCTGCTTCTCAGTGGCCTTTGTGCAAATCAGGGGTGTGACAGTTCTCTGGTCCTGGTCATAGTGAACTTCAGGATGAGCATGTCTCTCATAACACACATCTACAGAAAAACGTACATAGTCCAGGCGCCAGTGGCTCACGCCTGCACTCCTAGCTACTTGGGAGGCTGAGATCCGGAGGATCGAGGTTCACATCCAGGCTAGGCAACTAGTTCATGAGACCCCCATCTCCAAAACACAGCAGAATGGACTGGAGGTGTGGCTCCTGCTTTGTGAGGGTGAATCCATAAGTTCAAACCCCAGTCTCACCAAAAAAAGAAAAAAAGATAATGGGCCGTCACAGCAATTGTACTTGTAATTGTCCCAAACTGGAACTACCTAGGAAGCCTTCACTGGACGAACAGGGATCTTTCTCCATTATTCCTCACTTCAGCTTCTGATCCTGTGCCATTCTACACAGGAGCATTCACTTGAAGGGAGGAGGTCACTTGCCTCCCTGTGGATTGAATGGGTGGCAGAAGCTTGCAGGTGAATGCCACGTGTGTTTCACTGTAGTTCCTTTTTCTTTCTTCTTTAACTCTCCAATTATTTTATGCTGTGCTGGGGATCAAACCCAGTCCTTCAGGCATGTTAGGTAAGCACTTTGCCAGGGAGCTACATCCCTAGATGCTTTTCTTTCTTTCTTTTTCTTTTCTTTTTAAAAACTTCTTTGTTCATTTGTTTGAGACAGGGTATTACTGTGCAGCTCATACTGGCCTCGAACTCTCAATCCTTCCTCCACCTCCTGAGTGCTGGGATTACAGATGTGTATCACCACGCCCAACTGCTTACCTTAATGGTATAATTGATTTAAACTGACATGTCCAAAATCTCATCATTTCAACATGTGATCAGTGCTTCTTAAATTGGTTATTTACTTATTTGTCCCTGGGATCAAAGCCAGGGCCCTTTGCACGCTAAGCAGGTGCTCTATCACTTGAGTTGTGCCCCCAGCCCTTTTTTTTTTTTGTGGTATGGGATTTGAACTCAGGGCCTCACGCTTGCTGCATGCTTGAGCCATTCTACCAACCCTGCTTTGTGTTGAGTTTTTCAAGATAGGGTCTAGAGAACTATTCTCTCCACACCCCCCTGCTGGCCTCCAACAGCGATCCTCCTGCTCTCTGCCTCCTGAGTAGCTAGGATTGCAGGTGTGGGTCACCAGCGCCCAGCTGTTGTTTGTTTTTGAGACAGTCTTGCTAAATTCGAACCTGCAGTCCTGCCCTCACCTTCCTGAGTAGCCACCATGCCCAGCTTGTTTTGTTTTCTGAAGGCCTTGGTCAGGATGGGCCTGGATTCTACCACTGAGCCACACCCCAGGCCTACCCCCTGGATTTTTATATCCCTCATCTTCCTGAGTGCTTGGTGCTGATAGGGGAAAGGATAGGGAGGAAAAAAAGGTTTCCATGCTTCTGGTTCCCCCTCCCTCCCCACATGGTGGTGGTCATTGCTGGATGCTGTGTTAGCTAGAGAAACCTTCACAGCACTTGATGACTGAAGGCCCAGGGCTGAGTCTTTCTCTCTCCACAGGGAACACCACCCCAGCCTGCAGGAAGCCAGCCACGAGAGGAACTCCTCGGGCTTGCTCGCGCTGAGTCCAGGGGGCCAGGACACCAGACGCAGGCTGATGGTGCCTGCTCCCAGCACAGCAATCAGCACTCTGTGACACCTGTACCTGGCAGTGGGGATTCTCAGCCCGAGGTCTCTCCACAAGGGGGGACAGGGCTCTCTGACTCGGAGAGGGCGAGCCAGGACTCTGTGTGGGAGCAAGAGACCAACCCATCGGGGAACAATAGGCCTGAGACACACAGTGCTCAGGTTCCAGGTGATGGTGGCCAGAAGAGGCACCCGCCAAGCAGTGCCGTTGAAGGGAAAGAAGTGAATGGCAGACTTGCCCAGGGGGGAGCAGGGACCAACCTGCCTGGGGGCGACCAGGAAGAAGGAGGTGACATCCCTGGCTCTCCTGCCTCGGGCTCTGCTCAGGAATTGAGCCCTGCTGCTCCATGCCTGAAAGCTCCTTCTGTGACCCAGGGCCCCCCTATCCCCATGCAGATGCATAGCGGGACAGGCGGGAGAGCAGAGCAGAGCTGTAGCCCAGCAGGCGCCTCCCTTGTAGCCCTTGTCATCGTAGATGTGAGCACAGACCCCTCTGAGCCCAAACAGAGGGCCCCAGAGGTGGCTGAGCCAGATGGGCAGGCAGAAGCTGGGCCTCCTGTCTCTCCTCGAAGACAGGCCCCTGGAAGAGACAGCAGCAGGACTTTGTGGAGGGACATACCTCCTGCTAGGAAGACTGCGGGAGGCAGAGGAGAGGCAGGGCTGGAGAAGTCCTCTGATGATACCCTGCTGAGCCCGGCAGCCTTCCTGGCTGTTGGGAGCCCAGGGCTCAGAGTAGACACTGGAGATCTTGGTCATCCAGCCCCAGAAGTGGGTCTGGGCATCAGTCAGACACAGGTGCCCAGCCCAGACTCAGAGTGGCCAGGAGGGATGTGTGCACTGCCTTTATTGGTACAGCCTGCAGATGGAGAGGAATCAGAGATGCTCAGCCAGAGCCACAAACAAGACCCCAGGGGGCTCGCTCTGTCCCTCCCAGCCTCTAGTCTGCTGGAGCACAGAGAAGCAGCTGATGGCCCTCCACAGGACACCAGGACCCTCCAGAGTGGCCCAGACCCCCTCATGGGCCCAAAGGGGCAGCTCCGACTCCCTCTGGATTCTGCAGACCAGGCTGCATGGCCAGAGTCCTCAGCTGTGGAGCTTGACTTCCTGCCAGACAGCCAGATACAGAATGCACTGGATGTCCCTGACCTAGAAACCCCACTTGAGCAGGTAAGAGCTTCCTCGTGCTATTGATACACAGCTGTAAGCCTGCTCCCCACACACCCCATGGTGAGGGAAGGTGGGGCTGTCGTACCTCATTACTTCGAGATGTCTGGGGCACAGCTGTAGTGCACATGGAAAGAAATCATTTCTAGGTTCTGGGAGGGACCCAGCCTGTGTGCTTGTTGAGCAGCTATGGGATGGTGACACACAGGGACATGGTCAACCCGGGGGCTCTCCCTGCCTGGATGGGAGGCCTCAGGTGCGCTAGCTCCTGGCAGCTTTGTGTATCCCCCTAGCCATCCTTCAGCCCCTGCTCCTGGCTGTGGGCTCCTGAGGGACACATTGAAGGCAGTGGCCTGAGAAGGGACACCTGAAGAAGCCAGTGTCCTCATGGCTGGCCCAAGGAGCTACTTCACTCCTAAACTGGAATAGAGCCTCTCACCCCTCTTTACACTCTTGTGGGGTCCTCATAGGACTGTTCCAGCCCCTGGGAGGAGTTGCCTTCCTGGCAGAATTCAGAAGGGCCTGCCTCCTTCAGGGCTCTCCCGCCCCATGGGCTGGGAGATGTCGCCTGTCAGTTGCTGAGCCTGTGCCAGACACTGGGTCATCTATTGGGACAGGTGGCAGCTCTGCTTCCCTGAGGGGACATGCCACCTGCCTGGCTGTGGGTGTACCTGAGTCCTGGCAAGGGCTCTGCAGTTGTGCCCTGGGTGGGGTGGGCCATTCTTTTCTCCTCTAGGCATGACTGAGTTAGGCATCTGCTGCTGGTGCCACAGCTGGGAGGGGAGATGGCTGATTTGGCACCTAGGACTCCTCCAGTCTAACGCTGTACCTCAGTCATCCCATCCTGGAAAGGGGGCCCAATTTGTTTTCCAAATGTCAGCCTCTGCTTCCTTGGTTCTTCCTGTCACCGTGGTTTTTATTTCTTTATTTTTGTGGCACTGGGGGTGGAACCCAGGGTCTTCTCTGCCGCTGAGTTACACCCCAGTGAATGCAGGGAAGGGCTGTGTGGTTGCAGGCTGTGGCTCATGGGCACTGGCTAGGAGAAGGCTGCAGAAGCATTTGGGATGTCTGGGGTCAGGTGTGCCCAGGCAGGATCCAGCAGGTGAAGGAGCCCTGAACAGACGGGTCACCTGTGAGCTTTGAGATCAAGAAATGAGCACTTGACAAGGGTGCAGCTCACAGGTAGGTGTTGCTAACCTGGTCCCAGGTTCCATAAACACAGCACCAAACAAGCCAAGAAAAACAGGGAGGTGGCTGGTGGTCACACTTGTTGGGCAGCACCAGTGTGTATGGTTTGGGGGCGGAGGGGGGGCGGGGAGACATGACTGCCCTGACAAGGCTGCCTGGTGTAGGTTTGTTTGGCTTTTGACAACGGGCATTCCTGAACAAGTCAGGGCGACCGAGCCACCAAGCAGGTTCCCATGGAAAGAATGAGGATGGCCTCAGGCAGGAAGACAGGCGCAGAGGCAACCTCTGAAAGTAAGTGAAGACTGACAGACTAGTCACAGAGGCCTCCTGCTGACCAAAGGTGGAACAGCCACATGGTGTCAGAGAAAGGGACTCCAGAGCATTGAATAGTCACACCAGCTTAAGCCTCAAGCAAGGTCTCCTGCCAGCAGAGTTTAGTATTTCTTCTCGAAGCTTCTCTCTGCTCACCCTGTGTCATTTGCCAAGCTGGGGTGCAGCTCAGTGGTGAGCACTTGCCTTAGTATACAGAAGGCCCTGGTATCATTCCCAGCACTGCAAAAAAAAAAAAAAAAAAGCTGATTGGTAGGACCCCTGGGCTGGGACCAAGTGCTCATCCACAACTGAGGTCCCCAATATCAGTGCCACAACCACCCGTGTAACCCACAGCCCTGGGGGATTGGTTATATCTATCAGGTGAGAATATTCCTGGTAGCCAAGAGCAGTGTAGAGTTGGGCAAATGTGTGACAGTGATTTTTATCTTACTTATTTTGAGACGTCTCACTGTTGCTCACACTGGTTTTGAACTCCTGGACTCAAGCGATTCTCCTGCCTCAGCCTCCAGAGTAGTTGGGACCACAGATTTGTGCCACCACATCTGCCTTTTGAAATGTATTTTGTGTGTGTGGTGGGGATGAGACAGGATCTTGCTATGCATTCCAAGCTGGCCTCCAGCTTAAGGTCCTCCTACCTCAGCCTCCCAAGTGTGGGATTACAAGTGTGTGCCACTAGCCCAGCTCAAATTGTATTTTAAATCACAAAGTCACCTATGTAAAAGCCAGCCAGACACGGCAGGGGGTGGGGAACATAGCATGGCTTACAGCAGGTGTCCCAGCTGTGGTATGATGACATTTGGGGTGCACTCATTTGCTATGGGGCTGTCCTCTGCACTGTAGGATGTTGGCTTCTAGCCACCATCAGCCAGTAGCGCCACCATACCCAGTTGTGACAGCCAAAATGTCTCCAGATCTTGTGAGGTGTCCCCCTGGGGTAGAATAGCTGGGGAACAGGCTACCCTTCATTTTTGTTCCTTTGGCTTCAGAGTCCCTTTGAGGTTTCCCTCTGCCAGTCCAGCCAGGGGCTTCATTCAGGAGGCCTTGGACAGGCCTCTTGCCTGCCAGACTGTTTCTCCCAGAAGGAGCCCCACAGATCTAGGCTGGCTGCTCTGTCTCTTTGCCTCTTTTTGGATAGACCTTGTATTAGTCAGTCTTTCATTGATGTGACAGAATACCTGACATAGGGTTGGGGATGAGACTCAAGAGGTAGAACACTTGTCTAGCAAGTACAAGACCCTGAGTTTAAACCCCAGTGCCACCTCCCTGCCCCCACAAAAAAACCACAGCTGACACAAGCAACTTAAAAGGAGGAAAGATGCACTTTGACTCATGGTTTCCGTCCAGAGCTTGGCCCCACTGCTCTAGCCCTGAGATGAGGTGGAACATCGTAGCAGGAGGGCATGGAGGTGGAGCACAGCTGCTCAGTCATGGCAGCTGGGAAGCCAAGAGGAAGGAGCCGGGGGCAACACACATCCTTCTCAGGCAGCTTCAGTTACCTGCGTCCTCCAGCCAGGGCCTCACAGCCCAGTCTGCTGTGGCCCACCCTTCTGATCCAGTCACCTCTCAATAGCGCCACCAGCTGGTGACCAAGCCCCCAACATGAGAGCCTTTGGGGAGGGGGGACTTCCTATCCATACCACAACATGTACATGTCACTTCCGCAGTGGCAGGCATTTTTCACAAAGCACAACCAGCACTGCTGTGTTGGCTCTTCCCCTCTGTTCATGGTCAATTTCCTCCAGCCCCAGCAGGCTACTTGCAAACTCTCCCTAGTACGATTCTCATGGCTCCTTCAGCTGAGGTGGGCAACCCACCTGCCACAGGTGCCACCACTTGGGGATTTAGTCCCCCTCTCAGGCCAAGCCCTTCACACACTACCCTCTCTTTTTCTAGGGTTTTTCCTCAGGGACTAGTGCAGGCCCTGGGTGGCCTGGCCCCAGCCCACGTGCCAGCCGAGGAGACCCCACTTTGGGGGCAGAGGCCCAGCTGAGGTAGGCCTGGGGCAGGGGCCAAGTGGCCCCAAGGGACCTTGCTCATCAGCCCTACGCCAAGGATGACAGAGTGAACCTTGATTGCCCGTGCTGGACCTCCTCATCCTCCATCCAGTGAGGTTCACTGCCTGTGTCTCTGCTCCCTGGAAGTGGAGAACTGGCTAGTGATCTACACCCAAACCAGCATCTCCCTAAGAGCCCTGGTGTCAGCATCTCCAGCAGGGTGAACCCAAGTGCATGTGGCCCAGGCTTCTGGAGTCTCTGTGGAGCCGAAGGGGACAATTCCAATCCTGGCACTGGGCAGGCAGGGTTTTGCTCTGCCTCCTTACCTCTCACCTGGCCCTCCTGTGGGTCACCAGGAGCACTGTCCCTGCAGTCATCAGCGTGTGTGTGTATGTGTGTGTGTTGCCCTCCCCACCACCAGAGTGTAAAGAGCACCCCTTCCCCACCCTCCCAGGCCAGCCCCAGTGGCCTCCTCTCCTGTTACCGGGTATTGGACCCCACCTCTCTGCAAAGGCTTAGCAATTATTTATGGCCAAGTTTCTGTTTCTGTCTGGCCTGTGTGGAGGAATGGCTAGGTACGCCAGCCTGGCCTCCTTTTGTCTTGTTTCTTCCCCTCCCTCCTCCTCCCACCCCCCTTCTTCTTCTGCTTTCCTTGTCTTCATCTTCCTCTTGCTCTTCTCTCTGTACCTAGTACCCATTGTGCGACTTCTTACACACACACAGGAGGGGGGGGCACAGAGGGAGCAGTTTAGTCACAGTGGCACCTCTGTCATTTGATGAAGGATTTTTTTTTTTCTTTCAGTGGGAATGGGGTTTGAACGCAGGGCTTCACCTGTGTAAAGCAGGCACTCTAGACTGGAGGCACACCTCCAGTCCCTTCTAAAATTTGAACAAAGAGAATGGAGATTCTCCCGACAGCCTCATGTTTCCCAGTGTAAACCCCTTGTGGAGGTCCCCACCAAGGGTCCTGGGATCTGCCTGGTGGCAGAAGCTAATGAGACAAAAAGGCCTGGTACCGCCATGCCGGGCTATGGGGGGCAGAGGGTGACCTGAGGCCAACAGTTGGGGCCTCTGCCTCTGCCCAGCACCTGTTCTACCAACATTGCCAGTTGTACATGCCCCATCTTGGGGTGCTAAGGCTTGTCCCCTCAGAATAACCAACTCTGCCTTACCTAACCCTGTCCCTAACACTAACCTTACCTCTACTTCTAGCTCTCGCCTACCACTAATCCCAGCTCTCACAGTAACATAACCCTGATCTTAACCCTAGTCCTATGCTGCCCCTAACCTAACCTCTTAGCACTGGGGAGGTTATAGTCAACACCTGAGCGCCGGTTGGCGCAGTGCTGGGAGACAAGGCGGTTTTGGGGTAAAGGGTTCACTCTAACCCACTGGAGAAGTCCCAAGAGGGCTTACAGGATGGTTGGTCCCGTGTGGCTGGAACAGAGGCCAGAAGGAGGCCAGAGTCGAGGTGGGGACAGCACCAGAGCCAGGCTCCATCTTCAGGGCTTCTTGTGCTGTGCAGACAGGAGCTACAGGGGAGAAGTGGGGATCCTGGAACCACAGCAGAGCACAGAGAAGAGGGCTGGGGTCCACGGAACCCTAGGAACCGAGGTCCTGTTGCTCCACCTGGAACTCAGGCTCTGACTTCTCTCCCTCACAGGCCCCTCAGGGGAGCCGAGGTCCCAGAGGCCTCGCGGATGGAGGATGCTACAGACATAGTGCGCGGCCTCATTGTGGAAATCTCCAACCTCAAGTAAGAGCTGCTTGGGCCCTGGGGCTAGGTGGGCACAAGGGACTGGAGCCCAGGGGCATGGGGAGAAACTGAGGCAGGAACCACCCTTGGGCAGTGAGCGTTTTCAGGAGGCCCAGCCTATTCTCTCTCTGCCCCCCTCATTTGTAATGAGGACCCCTCTGGCTGGCTAACCAGGGACAGAGCAGCCCCAAGCCCCACCCCCCCTTCCCACGCTGCGTACTACGCAGGAGGGATGCACACCCACAAGTGTGAGGCTCGGTCCCCGTGACCCTACTGCCATGCGAGTTCCTGCATTTCCACAGCCGTCTGATCATGAGCACCCACCGTGACCTGGAAGCCTGCAAGCGCCTCAGCTCCCGCAAGTCCAAGGCGCTGGGGAGCCTGCCCAGAGGGGACCCGGACTGGAGGGAGCTGTAGGGCACTAGCCCCACGGGCCACCTGGTGTTGTTTCCTAGAGGGGGGGTCTGCATGGGCCCCACAGACTTCCCCTTAGCCCACCTGAGGTCTGCCTTCCACGGACTCACTCAGAAGAACCCAGGCCCTGACCAGTTTCACAGCCTCCCTGTGGCCACACCAGTGTTGCCCCACCTCTGCAGCTCCAGGAAGCTGGCCAGCCCCCAGGTGCTTATCTGGAGTTGCAAATTTAGGCTCCTTAGTGAGAGGTCAAGGCTGGTTCAGGACTTGCTGCTCTCTGCGAGGAGAAAGGCCCTTTTGTTACTTCTGCCTTGTGTCTCTCCTGCTTTTCATTTTATTCTGGGAAGACGGTAATAAATGACATTGTCATGGGGCCGTGGCCTACTGTTTGGGGTGGAGGTGTTTCCGGTTCCTCAATGCTAAGCCCACAACCTCCTACCCACGGTTTCCCAGCATTTCCCTTCTGGCAGCTCCTGAGGCCTTTACGCTGTCAGGGCACACAGGAGTGGTAGCCTGCGGGAAGGGTGACACACACAGCTATGGGGGGGACACTAGCCCCCAGCTGTAGTGAGGTGGGGCCCAGATGGCCAGCTAGAAAGGAGGGGCCCCTGGTCATAGATGCCAGCACAGCTCTGATGTACACTTCATCCCACACAAATCTGGGTGACAGCAACCAGGAACAGTCACCCCTACTTAGAGAAAGCAATGCCTCTGCTAGCTTGGTCACCACCCAGAGTTCAGTGGGTCCCTCTACCTGTGGCTGAGCACCCTCCCCCCAGGGCCTCAGTACTGCCCAAGACCCCCATGGGAGGGCGCTGCTACCTCTCCTAGGACACCCAGCTGTCCTTGTCCTCAAGGATGCTGCCCAGTCCAGGGCTCAAGCATAGCTGTGACTTGTGAAATGAGTCATTTACTTCTTGGGTCACTAAAGTGCCCTTCTGTGTCCCACTCCCCCCTAGTCCTGGGTGCCCTCGGGTTCCCATTCAAGTGACAAAGCCCGGGCTAAGGGGACCTTAAGTCCAATTCCTGCTTGCCCAGTCCAGCCATGGAAGACTGCGTGGGCTGAGGGTGGAGCTGGGATGGGGACAGTGTAGGCTGATGGTCCTGCAACCTCTGGTCCCCACAGGACACTTCGGGCTAGAGGAGGCAGTGGGGGGCCAGTGGGGTGCAGGAATCCCCCAAGTGCATCTCCCTCCCACTCCTGCCCAAGGCCTCAGCTAGCTTGTCCCCCTTCTGTCCTAGCCTAGCTTTCAAGTGCCCCCAGGTGGCTCCAAGGCCACCCCTATGGAGGGAGATGGGTGGGGAACATGCTTCGGGCACAGGTAGTGCCAGAAGCGGGGTTGGAAATCCAAAGTTCCGAGTGACAGCCCGATTCTCAGCGGTTCCCCCGGAGTGACCCCGAATCCAGAGCGCCGGTGGGGGTGACATTGGGGATGGAGAAGAGGTGGCCCCACCGTCCCAAGACGAGGTCTCCTGGGAACTTAACGGTCCACGAACATTTATTTTGCGCGCGGGAACAGCGCAGGCTGTGACCCAGAGGGTGGTGCGATGTCGCCGTCCCCACGCCTGCCCCAGGCACTCCTGGGGTTCTCGTCCAGCCTCCAGCGGGCCTGGGTCCCGGTCCTCCGGGAAGGCGGCATCTGATCCTCCCCGCGCCTGTCTCCTAGGTGGAGGTGGAGGTGAAGGGGCTGCAGGCCGAGGGCGCAGGTCCCGAAGACTTCCCGCCACCTTTGGACCCTGGAGGTGGGAAAGCGGAGGGAGGGAGAGAAACACTCAGAGCGGAGATTCGGCTCCCGCAGCGCCGCCGGGCTCGGGCGCCACCTCGCGGCTGCTTCCGGGATGGCGCTCCCACCTGGGACGGTACCCCGACCTGAGCTCCGGGACAGACCTTGCATTTGTTACACCCAGAGTAAGTTAGCAAGACGTGCAGTCTGTCTGTGACAATGAAGTGGTGCGAGCACCCTCCCCAAGGGGTCCAAGACTCCCTGTCCCTCAGATCTAAGAGTCTGAGGCCCCATCAATCCTCCGCTGGGGTGCCGCGCGGGGACCCATACTCATCCCCAGCACCAACCCAGACCTGGGGGACGGGAGTACCTGTGATGAAGAAGATGGGTGACCCCACACCCCCGGTTCAGGGCTCTCGGAGGCCCTGGGCCCACTCTGCCCTCAACTTGGGCTCCAGCTGCTGCCTCCCTAAGCTGCCTACACAGAACAAATCCAGCCATGTACCCTAGTGTAACCCGCCCCACCTCTTCTATACGTCTCTGGTGCCTAAGTCCCAAAGTTTTCTTTGTTGTGGCGCTGGGGATGGAACCAAGGGCCTCACACATGCTAGGCAAGCGGTCTACCACTGAGCCACACTCCCAGCCCTAAGTCCAATCATTTAGGGTGAACCCCAAGGACTTATAGGCCCCTTGCACTCTGAACTGTCCCCCCCCCACCCACCCACACATACAGGCAACACATGACACACCAGAACTTTGTGAAAGCACTCCAAGGCAGGGGTCACACTTCCCAGCCCTTCCCCAAACTGAATAAATTACAGTTCTATAAATCACCTCTTCTAGGAAGCCCTCCAGTAACTCATCTGGTTCCTCTAGGTCCTCCTCCCCCACACACTCAGTACCCAGCAATGTTTTAACCACCACTCTCCTATCTACCGTGCTCACTATTCACCCAGCCCAGCACCCTGCGCAGGACAGGCCTGCAGACTATTTGGAGAATGAGCAAACAAGTAAGTCAGGGTTCAGAGAGGTTTAGCAATTTTTCTGAGGCCACACAGCTCCTAACCACACACTGGAATCAGAGCCTCTGCCGTACCTGCCAGTGGATCCCACTGCTAGGCTCCCTGCCACACTACTTCTGCCTACGAAAGCAAGACAATCCATAAGGTCCAGAGAAGCCAACCCCAGCTCCAGCCTGTCTCTCGTTTTGCCACCACTTCTAGAATGGACCACACAATGGTACACAGACACACACACACACACACACACACACACACACAAGTTCCCTAGCCACCTGTTGAGGATGCTCCTCCTCCTCCTCCCCGGCGGTGGCTGGTGTCCTGTGTCCTCGCCTTGTCGGGCCGGGCCAGCCTCTTGCCCGCTGAGTTCCGGGTGGTGTAGCTGTAGACAGAGGTGTAGCCCTGGCCAGTAAGTGGGCAGAAGCGCCGGGTGTGAGCGCGCTCCCGTGTGGCACCACACTGGGGACACACATAGTCCCGAAGGATGGGACACAGAACCCTGCCCGCCTCGTCCTTCAGCACGTGGGACTGGTAGATGGCCCGGGACTCCCCGTTGTGTTTGCAGAAAGAGCACAGGCGTTCGGGAGCTGGTGAGGACTGGGAGCTGGGTTTCTGGTCCTCTGGACTTGGTGTTGGCTCTGGCTGGGGGTCCAGCCTGGCCTCGGGCTCTTCTTCACGCAGAGCCCCAACCAGACGTGCTAACCCCAAGTAATCTGTCCACAGATCAAAAGTCCCCATAGTTAGCAATCAGTGCCAGGCAGAGGGGCAGAGGCAAAAGCAGCTCTGCCCAGCCCCAAGCTCTGTGCTTCTGCCCCTCCCCTCCCCTCCCTGGAGCCTGGGAGTCTGCTCAGGGCTCTCTCCTTTACCTCCAAGGGGGCTGAGGGGGAGGAGCAGGCTGTGGGAGATTTTTTTCTTGTCACAGGGGGGCCACGAGCACCTGCCCAGGGGATACAAGGTGTCTGTATGGGCTGGGGGCAACAGGACATACAGAGGCTGCAGGAGGCTCCCCAGGATTAGGGGCCAAGCAGCCCCCACACGCCCTAGTGCCTCCTCTCCTTGTGGGAGGCCTACTGTGTGGTGAGGGTGGGTGGATGGGCTGAGAATTGGAGGCATTGATAAGACCAGTAATTTAGTAATTTCTTTCTTCCTTTCCCTGGGCCAGGGAAAAGGCCAGGTGCCCCCTGGGCTCTTGGGGAGGTGTGTGTGTGTGTGGGGGGGGGTAATGGTTATTCCATCTGTCTCTTGAAAGAGAGGGAGAGACAAGGGCCAGACCCCAAGGCTGACCTAGGTCTGGGAGTTTCACACCCATTGTCTGGGTGGAACCCCAGTCTGTGTGATGGATCTGCCCAGAGGGGTTATTCATAAAGACTAACTTGGTGTCTTCCTCCTCCCACCACTCAGGCCCTGAGAGAGACTGAAAGAGGCCTGGGGCCCAGGGGGGTGAGAGCTAGCACTCTGGGGTAAGAAGTATAGGGGGCCAAGGTTAGGCTAAAGGGGGAACTCCAGCATTTGGCAGCTTTGTCTATTCCCTCCCCCCCCCCAAAAAAAAAGAAAACTCAGCTTAGCCTCAGAAGGGTAGGGTGTACTCAGGAGTTACAGGCCCCAGATAAAAGTAGGCTTGGGCTTTCACCTAAGAGGGTAGAAAGGCTAAGGCAGGACCTGAACTGGGGAGAGGCTCTGCTGCCCACAGCCACATCCATCCATCTGTCTGTCCAGCCAACCACCCATCCATCCACCCAGTCATATACCTACCATCTATCCATCTATTCTTCCTTCCCTTCATCCACTCAGCCACCCTCCACACACCCTTCCTTCCTCCCACCCACCCACCCTTCTTTCCATCCATTCATCCATCTTGCCCTCTGTCCTGTTTGCCCCATCCAACCACCCACCCTACAATCCAAGAAACCTTACAGAGCAACCTCACCCCAGTCCCTTTCTGAAGGGCTCTCAGCTGCCAAGCCCCCAGCCCCCCAGAAGTCTTCCCCAACTCCAATCTGTGTCCATCAACATCCCAGACCCCAGCGCTCCTCCCCCCAGAGACAAGTGGCTGCAATGGGGGAAAGGGTCGGCTGCAGGATTTGGGGAGAGGTGAGAGTAGGGGAGGGTGTCTCTCCCATCCCCCTTAGGCTGTGTATGGCCCAGCCACAGTGACATTCATCCCTCGGTGGGTCTGGCCTCCATCCTCACAACCCACCGACAACAATGAATGTTGATTGTGACTTTAGCAGTAGCCTAAGGGAGGGGGATGTGTTAACTTGATGGTGGGAAGAGGTCCCCAGATCCAGATGGGGGCACGATAGGACGGCAGTTCCAGGCCTCAGGGTCCACTCAACGGTCGATGGTTTGTCTGAGCTGTCCAAACTCACCGACAGGTTGAATGTTCCCCCAAACCCTTGGCAAATTCTCAGGGACCCCTGGAATGGGAGGGGGGAGGGGCAGAGAACTGGGTAAGATGCTGGGGAGAGGAGAGGGTGTCAGGGCCCCCCTAACTCTCATTGTGTCAGCAAACGTCAGGTGCCACCTGTCTGCTCAGAAATCTGGGACAAGCAGGGGACAGAAGCAAATGCTAACAAGCCTGGCACTGGTAGCTCACACCTGTAATCCTAGATATTTAGGAGGCAGAGATCAGGAGGATTGAGGTTCTAAGCCAACCCTGGCAAACAGTTCTCATGACCCTATCTTGAAAAAAACCAACACAAACCAGGGCTGGTGGAGTGGCTCAAAGAGGTAAGAATACCTGCCTAGCAAGTGTGAGGCCCTGAGTTCAAACCCCAGTACTGCCAAACAAACAAAAACCCCCAAATATTTGCAAAGCCCTTGTGAGATGTGGGTTACCCCCACTTGTCAGCAGGGAAAACTGAGGCCAAAAGGAAGGAGGAGGCATTTCCAGTGGCCCCAGGAAGTCTGGAAGCCATCCTTTTCTGGCCCTTAGGACAATGATGCAGTGTGCAGATAAACAAGTCATTTTAATACAATGTAATGCCTTTGGTGAGCACAGAGTGCAACAGAGATAAACAAGCATTTTAATACAATGTAGTACTTCTGGGAGTTTCACCTGCACATTTGTTTATGAATTGCAGTGGCCCCAGGGGCTCATGGGGTCCCTGAGCAGAGGACCAGAAAGGGCACTTGCTGGCTCCCATGTGCACAACCTGACAGCACCAGGGTGAGTGGTCAAGTGCAAAGGCCCCTCCTAGTGGGGTAAGGGAATGCCTTGCCAGTGATGTGGGGATGCCAGGCTGGGCCCCCAGTTGTTCCCTCCATTGATCTCTTAGAACTCGGGGCCCACTCTCCCCTCTGATGTCCCCAAACCCAATCCTGCGCTACTGGTCCCTTGATCTTTGCCAGTCAAATGATGATCAGGAGAAGGTTTGCCATCAACCTGGATTTGGGGACCCTTGAAGATGGCCTGAGGAGGAGCATTCAAATTTTCTAGTCCCTGGGCTTGGGGTGTGGCTCAGGGATAGCCCTGGGTTCCATTCCCAGCATGTAAAATCAACCTCCTCCTCCCCCCAGAGTCCTGTTACTTCACTGAGGGGAATACTGAGCCCCAAAGTAACCAAGGAACCAGTGGCTCAAGTGGTAGAGTGCCTGCCTAGTAAGTGCGAGGCCCTGAGTTCAAATCCTAGTACCACCATAAAAATGGAGAATCCTACTTAAAGAACCTCTTGGTGTAACCCCAAGTGGGTTGTGCTTGGGTGAACCCTCACAATGCCCCCTTCGCTGAGAACCCCGCCAGGAGCCTGGCCCTTAACACCAACCAAGACCCCTCCCTGGGACCCCTATAAGCTAATTCCAGTACCTGTCTCTGTGACACTCCAAAGCCCGCTCCAGAACTCAAGCCCCATTACCCCGCACCCTAAGAGCCCCTCTCTCCTAAGTCCCGCCCCATCTAGCACGGAAGGGGGGGTGGAGGAAGCACCTGAGACCACAGAGCCCCTCCCCTTTCAGAGAGAGCCCTCTTCTATACCGCCAAGGACCACCCAAAATCTCCAATGGAGACTGTGTCCCCACGGAGCCCAGTCCCTCTCTAAGGTCCGCCCCCACTGGGTCCGCCCCCAGACTTTCCCCAACTCCTGCAGCCCTCGCCCCGCCCTCTCAGCCCCTGGCCAGCGCCTTCCCTTCAAGGCAAGTGCACCTGGCTAGCAGGTCCCCATTCTGGCTCGGGGGGCGGGGTTTTGGGGTGAGTTGGGTCAGCTGGGAGTTGGAGTAGTAATGATGTCGCTTTGCCACCCCTGGGGAAGGTGAGGCTGAGTTCAGAACAATTCAGGGGCCCCTCAAAAGCTTTGTTCATGAGCTGTAATGGGGGGGTAGGTTATCAGGTATGACACTTTGATAACACGAGGTGGGGGCTTGCTTGTTCCCCCCCCACCCCGCTTTGACCTTGACTTGCCAAGTTGGGTGGTCTGCCGGGGTCTCCTTAGGCCTAGGGGTGGACATCAGGAGACGCCTGGCCTGGGCAGTCAGCAAGGCGGGGGCGGGGCGAGTGGGCGGGGCTTGGCGCTAAGGGCGTGGAGGGAGGCGGGGCCGGCCCCAGCCCGAGTCTGACTGTTTCTCTTTGTCTGCCTGTGGTCGGCGCAGGCTTCCCGCCCTCTGTCTGTCTGGGTTCGCCTGTCTCTTTGTCGTCTGGGGTCGCCTGTCTGGGTCTGACTGTCCTTCCTCTGCCTGTGTTTGTCTGGGTCAGCCTGTGTGTGTCTGGCCTTTTACACCCCATCCCTGTCCCCTCTGCATCTGGGGCTAGCCCCTGGCCATGGGGTCGTAAATCCCGCCCCCTTGTCCTCTGGTGCTCACAGACCTGACTTAGGCCCCTCTGGCTGGGGGCTGGCTATATCTCCTGCCACGTGTCCTGAGGTCTTAGGGGGACTGTTTGCCAGTGCCTAGTCTGACTTTGATGCCCCACAGGGTGGGTAGAAAGTGGGACGTTGTCGGGTCTGTCTGGGATGGGCCTGGGAGTGGGTGACTGCCCTCCAGAAGCCATGCTTGACCCTGGGCCCTGCCTCACTCCCACTCTGAGCAGTAGGAAGGCAGGGCAGCTGGTGGGGGTCTGGGGGTCAGGGTCAGAGGTGAGAAGTCCGTCTGGCACAGCCAGATGGGCAGGAGATGGATGGAGGGAACAGCTCTGCCGTCAAGTTGAAGAACGTAGAGAAGTCTGGGATCAGAGCTGTGGAGCTCTCAGGGTATCTGGTGTCCAGTGTGCTCCTGTGTGCCCTGAGCTGGGTGTGCAGTGTCCCTGTGTGTGTGTGCACGCGCGCGCGCAACAGCCTGAGGGGACAGAGAGGAGGGGCAGGCAGATCTTGGAAGACAAAGAGTCCACTTTTGGAGGTGCAGCAGCAGCCACAGCCCCACAGGGGTCTCCAAGGGGGGGTCTTGTTGGTGGCCTAGGCTGTCTAGACTGGTGGGGAGGTCTCCTCCTGTCCACGACACCTGTGTGGCCTCTGTGGTCTCTACCCCACCCTCTCCTGCTGTCTCCTGGGCTTCCTTTCCAGCTGCGCAGAATCTTTCATGCCACAGTCCTCAAAAAAGGGACTCATCTGTCCCACCCAGCCAGTGGGCGTTGGGCAGGCCTGGAGCCCAGACTTCCTTCCTAGGCTGACCGGATATGAGGCAAGGGCTGGAGGACATGAGAAGGTTCCAGTTCCCCAAAGGTTGGGGTTGGGGAATCACTGGGAAATTCAGACATGGCTTACTTAGGCTCCTGATGCAGAGTTGTCCCTGGGTGTAGGTCAAGGTGAGCT